ACTTGTGTTCCACCGCCGGATGCCGAGGTGTTCCTCATTTGGGCGCTTATACGGCCGCCAAATGGGCCATCCGAGGCATGACACAAGCAGCTGCCGTAGAGTATGGGTCCTACAAAGTGCGAATCAACGCCATTGCTCCCACGGCAATCGAAACCCCCCTCACTCGACAGTTTGTGCAATCCTCTCCAGATCCAGACGAGACGAGGGTGCTTCTGACAAAAAACAATGCGCTGCCGGGATTTCCACAACCCGAAGATGTGGCGGGGGCCTGCGCCTTTTTGTTGAGCAAGGATGCAAGGTATATTACCGGCCATACCCTTCCAGTCGATGCTGGTGTACTGTCACGCCTGTTCTAAGGACCAAAAAGGATCCGACCGTCGTTATACGTACATGCAGAGCGACCGCCTTTGCATATGCATTGATTTCTTCTGACGTGTTGAATGAGCAACCGCGTTAGACTCGCTCGGTCCTTATTCAACATCTCTCGAGATGAGTGTTGCTAGGGTCCAAAAAGGGAAGCTACATGTGCAAAGTTAATTGCAAAGTCCAAAAGAGTTGGGATACTGGGAAGCTTTGGTCCAAGCCATGGTTAATGGTAAAGTCCATCATTGCCAACATATGTCCTAAAGAGTTTCCCGACTCCATGGGTTGAGTGCCAGCTTGGGATATTCGGCGCCTGGCCAGGATGAGTGGTACCAGTGTAGGAAATCGCATGCGCAGTCGTCTCCTGTCAGGACTGAAAAAATGGGCAGGATGAAGTTACAGGTTGTATTTAAGCTGTACTTACCATGGGAAATCCATGTGTTAGCAGCCGGATTATACTATTCGCATTGGTCGCTTCTTCCTGGACTATCCAGGTCAATCCCTTGTTGCCGACGACAAGGTATCATCATCATCATCATCATCATCATCATCATCATCATCATCATCATCATCATCATCATGATACACAGTCAGTCGATTCGAACCTGGTCAGCTACATCAACTTTGCGGTGGTTCATGAGGAATCCTAGGAGGGAATCCAAAATTGGAACCCAGGGTCTTGCAGTCTTTGTCACCCAAGCTGATGTTAGCAATGACTTGGAGCATCGCTCAAATTTCCGGACCCGAAGAGAGATGCAAGTGGGGTTGTTATGTATTTGGGATCAACGTTTTTTTGGAGTGGTGCCACTACGGCCACACAAATACAAATTACTCAAATCGGAAGGATCGTCACTTGTTGCGGTGTCTCACTCCCCTGTGGACAGAGCTGCCGCTTTCTCCTTCTACATCCACTGCTAGTGTTTGTGGATGGCTTAGTTTGTTTGCTCTGGCAAGAGCAGGTACAAATCATGCAGTATATCTATAATATGTATACATGCTTTGCATTCACCAAGCCATCAAACCCCGATCTGCGCAACTTGGGTCCTCTACTTCGCAGCCAAAGCAACATTCATGACATATGATTAATGTAATCTATGTTTTCTCTTCTATTTGTTCTTGACGTGTCTTGATATCTTCTCAAGATGGGCCAAGCCAGCAAGGTGTCTCTTCAAGCCTTTGCCAGTGACATCTTTGTGTTGTTTGATCTGGTCTCGCAGTCTCCCGGCACAACAAATAATCAGTGCCAACCGGAGATGCACACGACCACAAGACCACATGCGCATTTGTCAGTTTCACCGGCTTTGTTCTGGGTGGTTAGATGTGGTTCATGTTTGATTTGGCATCGGCATCCAAAAGAACAAAGTCGCCTCTTCTGTGCCATGCTTCTCATCCCCCCCCCCAAAAAAAAAGCAAGCCGCCACTTCATGCTTCTCGCTCTGCAAACCGCCGCAGTCCAGGTTTCTCCCACCGTGGCTGTTGCCCTTCCGCGACGAGGAGCATCTTCGGACCGCTTGCGCGGTGGACGTCCGGTCCCGCATGGAAAACTCCTTCGACGGGTTGGACGTGCCGTGGGCCCTGCTGGCGGTGTCGGTGCTGGGCTTTTTGCTGGGCCGCACGTGGACGCCCGGATCGAAGAGCCAACTTGGGTCCTTGATGTTGGGCATATGGACATTGCTCGAGGCGGTGGTCCTGCAATCAAACACAACAAGGGAGATGTTTATTGAATGTGTGCGATTCCTGAGAAGGTTGTAGATGAGAGATGAGGTGAATTCAAATCTAGAGAAGGAATGACTCGACGCACCGCCACGACCCCTTTGGCCTGAATGATTTCAAACACAGATTTCTTTCATGGAAGCTACCCCCTCATAACATGGAACCTATCAGAGGTCCCTTTTAGGGGAATTGTGTTTCTTGCAGGACCTCCCCCAGTCAAGTTCCAAGTGGATAGGGTAAGGCCTAAGGCCTAAACCCCCTGCTCACAGAATAGCTTTTAGGCCGGGCTGGTTCCCCCCATGTCTCCTTCAAGTTGAGTGGCCCCACGGGGACAGCTTGAGCTTCAATGCGCTGGCGAGCTTGCCTCAGGGTAAGAGCAGGTAAGCTCAGTTTACTTTGGGAAACTATAGTGACGATAAGGACATTTTGGCACAACATTGAATCATCATTTCCCAACATGACACAAATATACCAATGCGTGCAAGTTTCTTTGTTTTCCTTTTGGTTTCCCTGAGTCATTTCTAAAATGGGCGGGGTCTCATTTAGGGTCAGAGTCATTCGGTGCTCTCCGCTTTTCAGGACCAAGCTCTTCAACAGAAAGCCTCGCAGTTCGAGTGCGGAGGCAGGATCAAATGGGCGGGCTGGACCCGTTGGCAACCAGGGTCATACCTCAGGTCCCCCAGGCCAGTAGTGCCCTCTTACCCTTTTTTGGGGGAGGGTTCCCCTACTAAAATAGACTACAGAAGAAAGTTGGTGCCCTTATTCGAAGCTCTCTACTGGAGGACCTAGTTTCTCACCATGGTTAGAGCCCACTTGCCATCGCCTAACATGGTGAGTACCCCGAAGTACGTGTCATGCTTACCTACCTTTCCTGGATGTGAAATACCTGTGGTGGCTACAAAACACAGGGCACCTGAGTGGCTCAGGGTGACTTTTCGAAGGAGGGACCCACAAATAGTCGGTGCATTTGGGAGGGACACGGGGGGGCTCGCCCAATTCTTTGGCAAACGGCAGACGGAACCCAGATTGTGCCCCGTCCTTCACAGCCGTGGCTCATGTGTCGAAGAAGCTTTGCTGCGGGTTTGATTGGCACCCCAGTGTTTGATATGCGTATAATATATATATATATATATGTATATATATATATGATATATATATATATACAGATGCGTAATTATTATTATATATATATATATATATGTTAGTTTGCTTGTTGGGCATGACTGTAAGTCTAAGTGCTTGTTGACGCCTATCATTTGGAGGGGTCCCTAGTTTCGACACCTGCTCATCTTCATCCACCCTTTGCCTAGGATCGAACCACACTGATGTAAATTCAAACCTTGACTGCTATTGGGCAACGGATCTTTAGACTTTAACTTTTTGGGAAACAGAGGTGTTTTCCACAAAAAAAACCAAAAGTTAAGCTTTTTGCAGGGGGGTCAAAAGAAATCAAGAAACTATGGCCGTCCCGAAAGGTGTTTATTTTTGGCCGGTCGCGGCGCAAGTGTTGCCCGAGAGGCCTTGCTCGCTTGACCGCGACCGCGGTCAAGTTGCCGATTTTGAGCCGCAGCGGCGCATTGGTTGAAAGCGCCGGCGCTCTGCGGTGCATGATGAATTGGCGACTCGACTTCAAAAGCTTGCCTGGGCTCACACTCTTGGTTTGCTGTGGGGCTGGACGTGTGCCTGCTGTGCAATGGCTTACACCCATATGTGTTTTGTGAAAGGGGACTTTGTTCAGCTTGTTTTGAAGGCAAGCTAAAGGAAAGCCACCATGCTTAGGGTACACCGACCTATCAAATGCCTGTCACTTGCAGTAGAAAGGTGAGCTGACATGCATGCTTTGTGCCGCACGACATTCTCAACGATGGATGTGCTACTTGAGTCGGGCGTGTCAAAAGTCCGGCCCCCTTTTGGATGGCCTTCCAGGGGATGCGCCAGGAAACCAATCTTTGCTTTGGACCCCCTGGCAACAGACCGGCCTAAGCTGCGCGGCTGTCAGCCCTAGGTGTCTGCCGCGGCTGTCGCCCTGTGACGCTGCGTCTTCGGGAACCTGCATGGTCGAAGACGCCGTCGCGTGGAGAACGGCATCCCTGGACATCCCCGGGATGTGTTGAAATTCGAAGCTTGGCGCAGCATGTGTTTTCGCTTTTAAGTTTTTTCTGAGGGCTTGAAGATTGAAGGGAGCAACGTGGGGATCACACTTGCGGATTTTGAGCTCGTTCTGTTTTGTCACTCACTGTGCATGGGTGGATTTCTGCGATATGCTCGATAGTTTATATGCTTGATGTAACCAAGGCATCGGAATCAAGCGGCAAAGACTTCTGCTTTCTGATTCATTCTCAGTTTGTTTGCAGTGTCAGCATATTGTACACAGAAGAGATGTTAGCCAATGCAGCGGCCTGTGCCGGTGTTGTGACATGTTGAATCAACCAGCTAACAAGAACTTTGGAGTGTCCTTCCATTGTCTTCGGTCCGCCATTTGCTGGAACCAGCCACCTCCATTCAGCCCTGTTGCAGGATGCCAGTGTGGAATATCACAAGTCACTCGCAAACACAAATGGCCCAACAAGTCGAACTTGAACCTGTTGCTCAGTTGCTCAGGACACTGCTCTTTCTTCATTGCACTCCCCGGAGTGCAGATTTGTGCATCGCTTCGCGAAAAGTGCGCCTGCCGCGGAACAAACAAAAGGCAAGTGCCGGTTTGTGCAGATCGACGGGTGGTGCAAAGCTGACGACATGACACATAAGGTACATTTACCAAAGTTGATGCAACATGTAACCAGCAGCTTAAGGGGAGCTCATCACAAGATCCATGTCGGTTGGGTGCCAGTTCATGGCAAGTAGCAAATGCTCCCCCTGGCTCCCCCCCCTGGCTCTCCCTAAGAGGCATTGAATCTTCGTGGCCAAGTTGTTCTGATCCGCAGGAAGGCGCTACGATCCCGCGCGGCGCCACAATCTCCGGAAGCACCTGGAGGCAGGCGCTGCTTTCGTTGTGCATGGACGTCCAACAGCCGGGGTAGTTTGACGTAGAGCCAGAAATAACTTCAAAGCCACAGCGAAGCAAACGATCTGATTTTTAAAGAGCCTGGCCCCTTTGCTAGGGCGTGTTGGTTTTGATGGATTCCCCGGTTGCTTTGCAGGTGCGCGTTCAAAACGGATCGGCCTTAGCTCTAAGCCAAATGCTTGACGCGAGGCTTGAGCTGGTTTCTTGGGGACTCAGCATGGAAAGCTCTACGTGGGTCTGTCCGTGTTTTGACGGTTCCCTTTTTTGATAGGTTTGAAAGGGAAACCAAAAGGACCCCCCACCATTTGTTGGGGATCCCCTTAAAAAAGCACCAAGCACCCATGTGGTGCCAGGGAATCGGGAGAATTCACAAAAAGCGGCTCCAAGAGTTTCCGAGTCCGCGAGTTTTCAACCTAGACAAGCAAGGCGCCTGTTGGCAGCTTAGCTTGACGTGCCAAATGGAAGTCACAATGTGTTTTTTTTGTCGCTTTGGGGATGGCATGCGGGGACGGGGGAAGGGCAGTCACGTGGCAAAAGCATGTTTCTTATGTCGAGCCTGGGCATGTGCGCTTCACTGAGATTATTCATTCATTCACCTCCATCTGTTTGGCGAACATGACTGTTATCCAAGTCATTCAAGGGAAGCCGTGACCGTCTCACCAAGGGCCGCGAGATTTCAGCATGACTTTCTGCAATCCCACATTTGCGCTGGCATATGCTCAGTCTTTTCAAAGCCACTCCCGAATTCTTCCCGTCGCGAGAAAGGTCCTTTGCTTATATGGCTTTTTAAAGGAATTGGATGGACAATGGGATTTGCCATCTACCTGGGTCCTTTTCTGACTTTGGGGCCTCAATTTTTGCTGGTCCTTTTGACACCCCAAGCCACTCGGGGTGTGGTACAGGGGAATTGTGGGTTTTGCAGACCAAGCCCCAGACGCTCCGCAGAGGCCATGTTCCGTGACCGTCGGAGCTTCGATGAGGTGCTTCTGGAGGAGGGGCTTTCAACGCCTCCAGTGGTTTGGACTCCGTTGAAGACCACCCAAGATGACCAGAGTTAACTTACTGAGGCCTCTTTGCTCTTTTGCCCTTGTGCGTTCTTCGTTTTCCCCCTTTTGCCCTATGCTTAATTTTGCCTCTTAGCCAGCTGAAGACAACTTGCATTTTCTGCCCCAGCCAGAAGGTGAGGTTCAGCAAGTCTCAACTCCGAGCCAACAAAATGGACCAAGGACATGATGTTTCAGCCCCAAGAACTGAGAGCAAATCGGATCGGCACTCCCCACGCTTTTTGCGGGGGGGGCATTTGATCCGTCGCATCTTTCTTACGTGTCCCAGTGACCCTGTGCCGACAAAGTGGAATGGGCTCAAATTACTGAGGCTCCAAGTACTTATGACCAAAAAAGAATCCCGGGGATTTCCCTCAGCTCCTCGACTCCGCGGCCCATTGGGTTTTCAGTCCGATAGGGCCCAGCGGCAGGGCTCTGCTTCTGGGGCGGATTCGTGCGTAAAATCCGTGGATTTTTGAAGGGGACTGTCCTTTACATATATTTTTTAAAGATGTGTGTGTGTGTGTGTGTTGATTTTTGAAATCGACAAGAGCAACGGTGGCTTTCCAATGGCCTCTCAGGACCAGGTCTGCATGTAGAGCTCCTACCGCAGCCAGGCCCTCGGGGCGACAGGTTAGGAACACGCCATCTCATGACCAGTTTGTCCCAAGCGAACCAAGAGGAATAGATGGTTGTGCAATGTTTGTAAACTTCAGATGTATAGATGCCATCATTGGTCATGAGGGTCATGGGAGCTTTGATGTCGTCAAATCTCGTCCTGGGTGCCTCTTGACATGAGCGCAAAGATGTGATTTGACTCGTCTTTCGTACAAGTTCCGTCCGGAAATGGAAGCGTCAATGAATTCAGACAAGCAAGGTTGTACTGGTGTCTGGCCTAAATTTGAGTAGCAAACAACCAAGCGACACCTCTCAATTTGTGATGTGTGTTGTCAACTTCCCTTTTCAAAAAAGAACATGGGCTTTGCGTTGGAACCCTAGAAATGGCTGGTTTCCTCTCGGGCCTTGAACCCCACCTTGGGTCTCTCCCAAAGCCTGAGCCCGCCTAAGGCTGGCCGAAGCTTCCAGTGGTGTACATAGCCGGTGTCTCCGAAAACCTTCCGGAGAGCGCCTTCCAAAAAGAGACCGCGCTTCGTTCGTCAAGAGACCCGGATGTTGCGTATGGAGACACCACCGACGGATTCGGATTGATTCCCAGGGTTGGAATGGGTTCTCAGGCCAGGTGCCAACTACGTCTCCGAAAGCACGCTTTGGATTTTATCTTTTTCCGTAGCCTTTACATTTCAACCGGCTGTTCTTTCCTCAGGCTGGTCTCGTGGCCAGCTGTTAATGCCGCAGTTGCATGATTCTTGTCCACTGAGCCCATTATTTCATATTTCACTATCAAAGGCGCCCCTGGCCTGTTCAGTGCTACCACCCCAGTTTCTGACTTTGAGGACCCGCAAAAACAGTCAAGTTGTACATGGTTTCTTCATGTTTCTTCCTGCTGTTCCACGACTTCATGTTGTCACCTGTTTTCCTGGCTCGACAGGCAAGTGCGAGTTCAGCATGTTTTGAGTGCAGTCTTGAGCAGATGGACACCCATTCGCTCAACGGATCCTTGACAGTTTTTTTTAGTTTTTCTCGATTGAAACCAAAATGGGGGGGGGTGGGCTTTTGTTGGGCGGTTGATCTCCGAGTTCCATGATGTTCCATGTGGACATCAGAATACCCAAGAAACCATGCCAGCCGTGGCTGATGCATCGCAGGGCCATCGGTAGCTGATTCTAGAAACAGACAAGCAGGGCAGGCTCATCGCACTGTTTCAAATGCTTCTGGTCGCACATCTCCATGTTTTGTTTTTTTCTTCAACTGGTCGATGTCACATCTTCTGTTTCTCCAGAGGAATTCACACTCCTGGAATTTGCCCGGGGCTACGCCGACGCTTACAACAATTGGCCATGGGCCGCAAGAAGCCTTTGACAGAGGAGGAGTTCCTGGCTTTGGTGGCCCAGCGACTGGCCGACGGAGGCTCTTCGATCCTCATGGTTTCCAACCAAGTAAATGCAGGTCGCTATGCTGCAACCTTTGGGTGTCTCTAAACTGACCATGGGCAATTGTTCCCCCAATTTGGCGGTGAACACCATCTTTTGGGTGGTTGTTTTCCAACCAATGGTCATCCCATGTAAAGGACCGTGTGATCAACCCCCCTATTAAAAGCTTTGGGTGTGTCTTAAACAGGTTCCAGCAACGGGTTCCGGGATGCCACAAAAGTACCTTGTCGTAGGTCAAGCTGAAATCTTGAATTGGTCTGCCTGTTTCATAGCGAGCTTGGAGATATCACGAGCGAAAGCCATGATAAAGGTCCTCGAGAATCCGATTCTTAATCCAGCATGGAAGAGTAACCTTGCAGAACTCGGTGTTTCCCATTGGTTACGCAATGGAGTGATCCGACATTTGTAAAAAAAAAAAGAAAAAGAAAAGAACACCATCACAAACGCGGCAGCCGCGGCACTTCGCCAGGTGGCCATCTTCAGCTTCGGGGCCTTTTGCTGACGCAGGTCCAGCACTGCCTGCCCTTGGCCTCCTGGGGCCAGCTGCACGCAGCCGCCTGGCGTGATACAAAAACCGAAACCGAAGGTCGTTTCCCCAAAGCCGGGGGGCTCCTCATGGTTGTTGTTGGGAAACATTTGGGTGTGGCTCAAAATTAAACAGGAGGGGTTACGCAGGTTTTGGTCCATATTTCCACTTACCAGGGTTCCATTTTGGGCACCGGTTTTTTGAGCCACAGCCATTTCACATTTTTGCTTATTGTGATTTAGTGGTTGAATTCCAACCACTGAACCGCTAAAGTTTGAATTGTTGCTCCCCTTCCAGCGTCAACCAAGTCCTCTCCAGTTTTGTTTCGGAGGCGGGGTAGCATCTATATACATGCCAAGCCTTCCTTTGCATTGTCCCCGCTCACGCGCAGATGGTATTCTGTTTTTTGCGGCTATGCCTGGTGGTTCCCGGCAGTTTCTTGAACTCTTTCAAATTCACCAGCTGTTCCGGCAATGCCGAGCCTCCCTTTGCACAAGACGAACAGCGCATTGACGTGTGAGCAGTATGTAGACATGTGACATTGCGGGCTGGGTACGCACCCGCACCCATTCTTTACGCACCGAGTGCTCCGAGCATGCAACGGGGACGCAGTGAGTGCATCCGAAGGGTCCTGATGGAATTTGGGGCCTCAGTCGATGTCCTTTTTGACACCCCTGGAGCAACTCGGGGTGACGGGGGCTTCCGTGTTCTGCATAATGCCCCGTGACCCTGAAGGCATTCTAGAAAAGAGCCCACAAGAGACACGGCTAAACAAGAAGCGGATAGTGATACCTTGATTGTGCAAACTACATTGTGCGTCAAATCTCTGGAGATTGCAAGAGACACTGCAGCTGTGCAAACTAGGAGCTTCTCCACCCCCAATCAGAATAGCTCTCACTGCCGCAAAGCCATCCTTTTGACCCTTCTGGTTTCCTGATTTGGTCCATTTTCGTCAAGCTTCCAAAAGGTTAACCGCTTTGATTTCCAGGTCCTTTGGGCAACTGAGAGCTGGATGTCTGCAGGTGAACCTTTCCGAGTGCGGCTTGAGTGCTGCAGTGCTGCCGCAGCTCCGGGAGTTGAATCTGCAAGACCTGCAGCAGCTCGGCCAAAGAATGGAGAGACGAGAGACCCCAAACCACATGGTTTTTTTCCTCTTTTTCTTTTAATACCTGTATTCCGTGAAAGGCCCCAGTTTTGACCATGGCTAACTTTTCCCATGTCGTGAAGATATCATTTTTTTGTTGGTGGTTTTTGTGAATAGTCATCCCATGTAAAGGACCTTTTGATCAACCGTCTCATATCCTCTTTTCGGTGGTGTATACTTGGCAGAGCCACGTTTTACTTGGTTCATACATCCCTTTTTAGTCAGGGGTTCGCGTCATACCCTAAACTTGAATAAGTGGGGATTGCATGTAATGGGGTATTTCCTAAATAGCGAGCCCGGGTAATTAAGCTCACCCCATGTTCGGGTTCCCAATCTTGCGAAACACTCAGAATAAGCTTGAAAAAACCGGAGTTAGGCAGCCCTCCGATGACCTGGAGATGCCAGCGCGTACTCGGTGAACCAAATTTTTGCTGCCTTTTCTTTCTGGGGCTGGAGCTTGCAAGAGGTAGTTTTGCGTGCTGCACGTGTTCCCAAATCCTTGGGCTTGGAGTTGCCCAAAGTCCACTCTGTACACACCAAATGTACCAAAAGGTGTTGATGTCCGAGCTCAAGTTGGCAACCTGCACTTCGAACGCTGCATTTGCCCTCTGCTTGCAATAGACCAGGAGCTTGCAAGTGTTGAAGGGCTCGTAGACCAGCCAAAGGGTGCAACACTTTTCATGGCTGGAGAGCGAGATCATGCACACACTCAACATACACGCTTAAACATGACGGCACAAGATAGGGTGGAAGCGCAACCAAGCCTTCTCCATTAATCATGGGCCACACTAAGAATAGCTCACATTGTTGGCTTGTTGACTCATCTCAACATGCAGGGTACTCAACTTGCCACAGGCCCAAGGCGGGACTGAATCCATTGCCGTGGCTTCTCTAAGTACATTTATGAGGGTTCGCCTTTTCCTGGCAAGAGGCTTGCTAGACTCGAAAGTGACGACTTGAATGAAATGCTATGGTTGACTCTGTGGGTGGACGCATGGAAAACCATTGTTTGTTGGTATGTACAAGGGAATCATCGTTCCAGGTGTTTTTTAGGTGGTGCAGGATTTCGTCCATCCACAGTATGGTCGACTCTTTACCCACCGTTAAAATTCTATGGAATGGTGGGCAGCTTCATTCCGGAAGCATCAATTCGGGTGTCAGGCTGAATGGCAACCAGCTGGGTCCGGCTCCGGAGCTCGAGATCTTCGAAGCTCGGCGACAGTTGAGCCACGTGCTCAAAACCCAGGTAGATGAAGGTTAGTAAGGAGCAGTCCCAGCCAGAAATAGTTGCGGCCGCCTTCTTAATTCTTGAAACATGGTTCTGGGTAGATCATTTTACTACCGGGTGTTGATTGTGACTCAGTTGGTGTCTTGGGGGTTGGAATGGGCGGGGGATGGCTCATCAGTCCGTGAGCTTTGCTGCAGGTTTGCTGACTCGCGGTGTTATATATTTCTCAAACCGACAAAAATACCCGAAACGTCTTTCGTCCCCCCAATTTTTCCCCGGAAGTTTTTCCTTACCCCGGGCTGTGACACGGTGCTTTAGTCCTCGCGGTTTTTTCCCCCGGTCTCTTCCGCGCGGCGAATCCTCGGCGCGCGGCGCGTTGTGGCGGCAGAGAGGCGACGTGGGGCGCGCTGCGGAGGCTGGGGATGGGCGCCTGCGGCCTGCGGCGCGGCGCGGCAGCGCTGGCGCCGGCGCTGGCGTGGCTCAGGGGCCTCCAGCTGCGGAAGAACGCGCCGCGGTTGGTTCTGAGGGAAGGGCTTGGGGGGGGGGGGGGGTGAGTTCCAAACCGGGGGAAAAGGGGCACTTGATCCACTAAGGAGGAAGTGTCCACTATGGTAACGGTGTTCTGATGGAATTGGGTGGCAACGGTGTTCTGATGGAATTGGGGGGTGCCCCAGCAATTGGTGCCCTTTGACCGTTTCTTTTTTGGGGGAGGGTTCCCCTACTAAAATAGACTACAGAAGAAAGTTGGTACCCTTATTCTAACCTCTCTACTGGAGGACCTAGAATGGCTGTGGGTCAAAAATCGGGTAACCCGCAAAATGTGACTTGCTCTGATAAATGGAAAAGCACACTAAGACCTGCGTAATTTTGGGTCTTGATTTTTGAGCCACAAATCGGCCGGCGGCATGAATCCCAATGCCGGACGCAAAGCAACCACCGGGAGGGGGGGGTGATGATTGTTTCTGGGCATTCCAGCCGAACTTGAGGAATTCGGGGCCCGGCGGGCGACGTGAGGGGAGGAAATCCGAACGGAGGATAAGGGAAGCACGACCGCGGAAAGGGGGGTGATGATTGATATGTTTTTGGGATGTTGAAGCATTTGTTTTTTTTGAGGGGGAGGGGGGGGAGGGCGGAGTCCTAAAGTTTGGGGCAAATCAACAAAGCCTAGCCGCATTCCAGCAAGACCTTGGCCAGTAGTGATGTGGCTTGATGGGTGACACTTCATGGGTGAAGGTTTCGCGCCTCGAAAGCAGCTGGCTGAACCTTTCGCATTTCTCCGGCATAGTTTTGACTCGGGAGCGGATGGGGACTGGAGCTTTAATCTTTGAGAGATCCGGGAAGCTTTGAGACCATAGGTGTCCTTCTTGGTTGGTTTGCTTAAAAAATAGAGGGCGATTCCTGGTGTAGATGGGGTTTATTCCATTTACCAGGGCCATCTGTTTCTCCAAAAGGCCACCTATGTTTGAGACGGGAATAAGGGAAGTACCAAGAGCTCTGCAAGAGCTCTGAGTCTTTTTTCCAATCTCCGTCTGGTTTTGGGTTTGGCTTGCACGATCATTGTGAATGTCTCAATGGGTCTATGAGAATGAAGGATTGCTTTGTACAGAACACTGATACTAAATGCCATGCATACTCTGGCACACTTGAGGTTGCATGTGGTCAAAGGTGCAAAATGGTTCCGGCAGCTCAGGATGGGCAACTTGACGGATGTTGGAAATGCAAGCGGGGGGTTCAAGACCATCTATTTCGGCACAAGATTCACCTGGCTCAGTTTTTTCTCCAATTGGTTGCTGATTCGGACCTTCTCTTGCTTATGTTGGCACCCAAAAGGCCATGGGTTTAGGGCATGAATTTATGCCACCGTCAGGTTTAGAGGGTTTAGAGGGTTTAGAAGCCATGGGTTTAGGGCCATTGAAGCTCACTTTGAACCTAGCCATCAGCTTGGCCCCGCCTTCGCCTTTCTTTCACGGGCTTCCTCAAAAAGATCCATTGCGCAGCCGATTTGATCGGCGCGCGTGAAATCAGTTGACTCCCCAAAAGATTCGTTTGGCCGCAACATATTGCCTGGTCCACCCGAGCAAAAGGAGCTTATAAGACTTATAAGAGGTTTTTCTTGGCGGGAGCGAGGGATGGGGGAAGTTCAGGAGGGCAATATGACCTCTGGTTTTCGCCAGCCTTGCTCCCAAATCCTGGGTGTGATGCGAGTTCGCGCTTGGTTCTCTTGATTTCCTCAAAAAGGCAGGTCTAGCAACCTACTAGTAAGTTGACACTGCTGAAGGGGCAATCCAGAGACTCCTCACTTAGGAGTCTCCATGCTAGGACATGTGGACATGTTTGGCCCATGGTGCGCGTTCAAGCCATCCGAGGTGTTGGTCAAAATCCAACCAGGAACAGTAGCATTTCACAGGGACTTGTTTTCGCTTCCTAAATTCTTCAAACAGCCAGGGACTCACGTGATTCTCTCCGGATGGCTTAAAATGGGGAAGCAAACGCACAGCAAGTCTCTAATGTGGACAAACTCCCAAATATTGACAAAGGGCATGTCTTAAAATAGGGAAATTCCGTTTTGGATGCTATGGGGAACTAAATGAAAACCACAAACTTGGAGGGGTCTCTATTTTTCCTAGGGGTTGATTCCCCATTATTTTCAACCATCGTTCTTTTCAAAAGCCAGCTGTTTCCTTGGGTTTTTGATGATTTCCTGAAAAGAAGGATCCTTGGAAAGAATGGGGAAGGCAGCCCTGGAAGTTTGAGAACCCTCAAATTTACACCTCAAATTGACATGGGTATGGGTCAAAATTAATTCACCAGAAGACCGCAAGTGAAAGTCCCTGTTTTCCAATTTACGAGAGTTCCATTTGGGGTACCCATCTTTGACCCACAGCCATTTCGGAAACCCCAACACCCCCCACCCCCCCGCCCAGCTGCTTTTCTGGGTTTTGATGATTTCCTGAAAAGAAGGATCCCTGGAAAGAATGGAAATGGAAGGTACCCCTGGAATTTTGAGAACCTCCCCCCCCCAACTTACCATGTTTCGGCCGAGGACATCCCGGCGGAGGAGTGCGACATCTTGACCTCCGCCGCCTGCGCCAGCGCGAGCCTCGAGGAGATGTCCCTCGCGGCGAACTCGGCGCTGCCGCAGACGTTGCGGAGGTCGGGGGCTGAGCTGAGCCACGGATCACGGGAAGTGAAGATTCGAAGATGGTCGCCAGAGACGGTAAGAAGTCCTCTGGTGTGTTTTTGGTAGGTAAACAAAACGATGTCAGGATTTGAGTAGGGAGGCAAGCAGACCACCCTTCACAACTAAAGCTTTGGGATTTTACGGTCCGAAGTGAAAAAGCATTGGTGGAGGAGTGGATCGCACGAACCTTTGGTTGAGACTGTCCCCTAGGCTTTCAGTATGAAGGTATAGCTGCGGGGCGCAACCATGGGGGCGCCCAGCCGCCATCGCCACTCCTCTTGTAAGAATGATAATATTGGCGCATGGCTCTCAGGACTCGGCTAGAAAGTACCCTTGGCGCCTTTGGCAAGTAGGAATCACTAGTTTGCGCCTTCGCACAGAGTCACAGTTTCTTTTCGGTGGGGCGCATATATTTGCTCAAAGTAATTTTAGTTCATCCGCATTCTATCAGCTATATTTGTTTTGCTTTCCGTGTTTTGCTTGTAGTCGATAGTTATGTATTGTCTGTCCATTTGTTTTGTGTGTGTGTGTGCTTGATTTCGTGTTTGTTTCATTGTTTGATTGTTTGTTTTTTGTTTGTGTGTGTGTTTCTGTATTTCGGTATTTATTTGTTGATTTCTGTCTTTCTTCCTTTCCTTATTTCTTTCATTCTTCCTTCCTTCCTTTCTTCCTTTCTTCCTTCCTTCCTCTGTCTTTCTTTCTTTCTTTCTTTCTTTCTTTCTTTCTTTCTTTCTTTATTTCTTTATTTCTTTATATGTTTTTTTTTCTTCTTTTTCTTCTTCTTACTTTATTTCTTTCTTTGCGTGTGTGTGTGCTCGTTTGCTCTGTTTCTGCGTGATATGTTGTGTGCTTGCTTTTGTTTGAGTTTGTGTTTGCGTGTTTGTGGTTGTGTGTTTTTGTTTGTGTCTGGGTTATCGTGTCATTTGTGTTTATGTTTGTGTGTCTGGTTGTTTGTTTGTTTGTTTGTTTGTTTGTTTGTTTGTTTTGTTTTGTTTTGTTTTGTTTTGATTGTTTCTGTGTGCTTGCACGTGTTTGTGTTTGTTGAGATGCTATGTTCGTTCGAACTTGATCGGTTGCAGCACCCAAGTCCCGGATCGCCAGCCGCCAGGTTGGAGGAAGCTTTGGCAAAGACACTCGGCCTTGGCAGAGGCATACGGGCAGATTCTTGGTCGACCAGTTCCTTATCGAATCCATGTTGTAAAACAATCTAGACATGTAGTTGATATCAATTGATCATGGAGAATCAAGCTCTCTAATTAAACACTTTACCTTTGTTTTCTGCTGAGCAAACTCGAAACTTTGATTGGCATCAGGAACCTCTTCCGGAACAGCCTTGACGCGGGCATCTGCGATCTTCGGAACCGGAACTTGACCGAGGCGGCGGTGAGGAGTGTGGCTGCCATGCCGGACGCGCTGCGGCTCGAAACAGAGTCAGAGGCGCAACTGCGTGGGCCATGAAAACTGTAAGGCCTTCGAACTGTTGGGCGCGGGTGCGCACAGGCGGCTCAATTTGGGGCTGGTTGGTTATAAGTCCTTCAAGTTTGCAGATGACTGCAATACTCTGTGGATTCTTCTAAAAGGAGTCATGACCATCCGCAAAGTTTTGTGCTGAGCTTTGCCGTGCTTTGCTCACGCCACATCTGGCCTTAGCCAAGAGTGTGTAGTCAAAGTTCAAGGCGTTCAATGCAATCGGCGATTGCAAGTTAGTGGCCGCAGTTTGCTGTGTGCTCTCATACTGCGTATTGGTCCGTATTGGTCATATTGCGCCACAAGTCACATCTTCCAAAGATCAACCCAATCATGCATCGTACATGTTGCAGACTGCCATCCTGACCGAGACGTGACGTGTTTCCCAGATGCGGGGTGCGACAAAACAAACAAACAAAGATATGGCCATGGGTCATAACCTAGGCCTCCATTTTGGGGAGGATGAACACCCATGTACCACCTACTTTGATGTTCACCAGGGGTTTTGTGGGTTTTGACCCACGTCCATATCGCCTGTGGTTTGCATTGTCCAGTGCTCGATGAGCCGAGGCTCACCCTGGACCTTCGGGGCAATGCTCTGAGCGAGGAATCTCTGGAGCTTTTGAAGACCGCGCTGGCGCAGAAGCCGGAGCTGGAGGCCAGAGCCGAAAAGAAGGATGTTTTTTTGGGTAGGTCAGAATTGAGGAACGAAGAATTTGGGTATGTCAAAATTGGGGGACCCAAGCAACCACGGTTGATTGGGGTACCTTCGTGCCTTTAGCACAAGTCTGGCAGAGTTCATTCAAGCTGAGTTGGTACCCACTGCCCAGCCAGCCGGCACCCGCCCAGTTGCCCATCCACCCAGTCGCCCTCCAACCAATTGCAACAGCAAGTGCCCCACCAACTACCTACCATCAGAAGTTTCGGAATTTCCTGTTACTGAAAGAGGCATTTGCTTCTACCCCAACAAACATGAGACTTGAACTCCAGCTCAAGATCTTGCAATAACGGGAAACATCGGGAAACCAACCGAAGATGCCGAATAATACCAACAAAAAAGCAACTCGGCGTGGCTCAAAATTCAAGAGCTAGGGTTACGCAGGTGTTGGTCTTTTGGCTCGGTTTGCCAAGGGGACCATTTGGGTACAGTTGTTTGAGCCACAGCCAAAGCAGAAACAAGCTGAAAAAGAAACAAACCACGAAGAACACCCATCAACACCCAGCTCAACCAAATCGGAAACAAACCGCCAACTCCAACAAAAACAGAAACCAACCCGCACTGTCAACAAACCAAACCCACAAAGAAAAAAAAACGAACGAGTTCGGCGCCGCGCTTTTTGGGCAACCAAACCCCCCCCACGTCCCCCCACCCCCCGCCAAAAAAAAACACGAACGAATTTGAACGGCGCCGCTTTTTGTTTTTCTTTCTTTCCGCTGCCTTGGCCACCCGATTTTTTTCTCCCCGCGCACGCTCCCCGGCTGCCTCGCGTGACGCGCGCGCCTGGCTGGTTGGCCGCCCCCTGCTCGGCCAGTTGCTCTTCACCGGGGAGGGCCCGCGCTGCCGCCGCCTGCGGGGCCGCAGCGCGCTGAACGCGCTGCGCCGCGCGGCGCGGCTGTGCCCTGGTGCCAGCTGCCGCGTGGCCAACCAGCGAGGCAGGGGGGGGGGACGTGGGGGGACCTGGGGGGACGTGGGGGGGGTTTGGTAGCCATAGCTTTTTGGGAAGTCAACAGAAAAGGAAACTTACCATTAAACCTAATACTTTTTTGTTTTTGAAGGTTTGAGTATAGCGTGGGTGGTGTGGATGGGTGGTTTGGCCATTTTGAACCCCTGGTTCTTGTAGAGGGTAGATGGGAATCCCCTCCTCAACCAAAACAAGAATCCAAACCACCAATTGGGGGAAAGGCTGATTTGGATCATCTGGCAGGGCCATCTATTTTGCAAAAAGGACGCCTATGAGCCTATGATTGTAGCTTTTTTGGAGAAAGATCCCACGTCCGGGTCCTTGAGGGAATGTGGGGCCTAAAATAGGTCGTTCTGACACAACGAAAGTGATTCAGGGTGTTGCGGTGATCTTCCCCTTTTCCATGCCAAGCCCCAGACCTCTCTCAAGGCTACCAAAGATTGGAGAAATGAAACGCGTTCACCCATGAGGTTCCCTTGGCGACTCCTGATTTCTGAGTTTTGGATGTAGTTGGCCCAAATGGGTTGCCCTATGCTGCCTGCTTTGGGCAGGGAAGCGGTGTGAGCAGGGTGAATTGCGGGAAGGTGTTAAACAAAATGGGGGATGGGGTTGAAGTCGCATCTATTCGCACTGGCGGGTGTTCCGGGTCACCCACACTCAGTGGAAACAAGGATAGAGGAAATAAGTTATTGACCTTTGTGCCCCTTCAGCAAACCAAGGGTGTCCCCAACAATTCTTAGGGGTGTCTTGCACCGCTTCTCTTCAAGGTTGCCTTTTGAGCCCACTTCTGGAACAAATTGAGAGTAGAACAGAGGGTCCTGTAACTTTTAACGACAAAGGGATTCTAGGGTTGTGCCACCTGTTCTAATCATCGCCTTTAGGTTTCCCGGGGCCCTTCGGGTCTGCCTTGTGTCAAGTTCCCCCCCCCCCCTCTCCTTGCTGTGCGATAGGCACCTAGAGACGTTCAGGCTATATATATTTTCGACACCAAGCTCCCACAAAAACTCTATTTGCAAAAGCAGACGGCCATGCAAACTGGACTCCTGCAATTTGCAGCTTGTTTGGTATGCCCAAATATACCCTGAAAAAAAGAAAGGCCGCCCTTGACGGCCGCGGGTTCACGCATCTCATGTTGGCTTTTGATTGTTGGTGTTGAATGATGGCATGCTGGTCACGCTTGGCTCCATAGTTCAGGTTGCTTGCGCCGTCAAAACCGTGGTGTCCTGATGGCATTGCTGGTGTGCTGAAGCTTCCCCAGCGCCCAAAAACCCGCCGCAAGGCCTGGGGGACGAGGGCGTCGCAGAGCTCGCAGAGCAGAGCCTTGGGCCTGAAAGCCACGCGCCCAAGCGGTGTGGTTTTTGCAACGAGCCGTGTGTTTGTAGGGAAGCAGCGGCTTCGCATGCCCTTTCCTTTGGCTTGGGTGATGTTTCAAGGGCAAAGCAAGCCCTGCTAGACTGTGGTTTGGCTCCAAAGTTGCGCTTCATTGAACACATGTTGATGGTTGATGATGGTCGTGCAAGACTCACTGGAAGGGCGCCAGAGCAAAGCAGTACACGTCCAAAGCGACTTGCCCTTGTAGCCTTTCGTACAACGGATGTCGAGCGCGGTTGAACCCTTCTAGCTACACCTTGTCGGGTGTGGCTCAAAATTAAAGAGCTAGCGGTTGCGCAGGTTTCGGTCCATGTTTCCATTTGCCAAGGGTTCCATTTTGGTACCGGTTTTTTGAGCCACAGCCAAATGGCCGGACATGTGGGCACCATGACCCAGAAGAAGGTCACATTCCGGGAGTCGCCCGCATTCTTCCAGTGGATCCAGGCTGCGCGCCATTAGGCAGACAAGGGAAGCCACAGCTTGCAGCTTGCCACCGCCGGGTGAATCCCCTGTTGTTTGCGCCTGTGATACTTTGATTGAAACCCAATAACTCCTATTTCAGGGGTGAAAGGGCTAAATTTTACGTAGCCAAGCTCGCAGTGCGTTTCCCTTGCCTTCTGAATAACGTCGTTTGTGGGCCAAGTTTTCTCCACTCGCGTCTATGTTTGCGTCCTCGGCTGAACATGAAACCAGTAGAGCTGATGTCCTTCTGGCAGATGCAAAGACAGTCCATTCTTACCTGTCGCCGTGACAGATGCAAACCTCAACTAACTGTCCCAACTAATAGATCTTTGTTTAGGATTGTAGCCCCACAAAAACCACAGGGAATCTACACTTAACGGATGTCATTCCCCTTTCTACCAGGGTCACTAGGTCGGTTCGGGGATGTCTTCACTAGGTCCCCCAGCAATTGGTGCCCTTTCTCACCCAACTTTGTTGGTTGGGAGGGTTTCCCTATAGACTGCAGGAAAAAGAATCGGGTACCAACTTATTCTAAAGTTGGTACCAACTAATTCTAACCTCTCAAATCTGGAGGAACCGGTTTGGATGCGCCTTTTGTGGATTTCACCTGTTCTTCCCCCTGTTGGTCCTTTTTTAGTACTCTTTTAGTACTCTTTTAAGCTTCTACAGGGGAACCACAAAAACCACCTCCAAACCGTTTTCTAGAACTGGAGGACCTAGTTGTCTGTCGCTGGCCCCAGGCTCGGGGACTTCCCTTTGGCCTCCCTGGGCCTGGCCCACAACGAGCTGGGGCCTTCAGGCGCCGCCTCGCTGGCGCAGGCGCTGCCGCGGCTGAGGAACCTCAAGGACGGCGCGGCGCGGCGCCGGCAGCTCGTTGAGCCGAGGGGTTCCTATCAAGATGGTCAACGGACCCACAACAGGGCTCCTTGAAAGATCTCCATTTTGCCACCATTTGAAACATGTTGCCTTTTCCGGCAAATCAAAGGGAAACCACCATTTACAAGGCAATGTTCAGGTGTATAATGTAAGGATCCCTGTACAACCAATCAGGGAGGGAGGAGGCGGTGAGCAACTCTAGAACCCTTGTGGAAAACTTCAGTGATTGCTGAGGCTCTTTGTACACCCCGCCCCCATGCTTCTCTTTGTGGCTTTAAAGGTCGCCATTTGGCCACACCGGGGCCAGCAAAGAACAGGAGCCCGAAGTGCTTCCGCTCGGAGCGCCCAGATTTGGCCTGTCACACCTGGACGGCTGGCGGTAGGACAACTTGTGCTACACAGACCCCGAAGCTTTGGCAGGTGCTTCTGGTCGCAGTATACACAAAGCAAAACTTTGAAGTTGTCTCGCGTGCAGCCTTCCCAATCAGTTGCGGGTGTTTTGCTGAGCTAAGGCCAAGCGTCCAGGATTCAGCACTGAAAAGTTGGAGCCCGTGTTTGGGGCCCGCGTTGACCGGATGCGGCAACCGCCGGGCTGACTGGAAGGAAGCTACACGGCCACGGTGTCCGTGTGGCTAGCGGTCCCTAGTTTTAGGACATGTGCTTGTGCACAGGACCCAGCCGCAGGGTCAGTTTCTAGTTTCTGTTGAAAGAACACCAGAGTTTGACGCATACACACACACACTCTCACATTTGTGGCAGGGTGCAATTTGTCATGTAGGGCGAGTGGGAACGGCCATGAGCCCCGCGAACAAGAGATGCGGCAAAGAATATCCATCCCTCACAGGTGGCTTACCATGGTACACTTCCGATAGAACTGGTTGACTTTAGATTCATATGACCCCCTTTTGATTCCGGTAATTTCTGGGCCTACAGAAAAATGGCAAACCCGCTACACGGCGCCTAGCCCAGAATTACCTTTGGAAGGCGGGTCGTGAACTGTTTCCTGGTTCAATCAAGACAAAGAAAGCGGAGAACATCGCGATGCGGCAGTGGCGCATGCCGCATGTGTTTTGATGTTGCCTTTTCCGGATCCCGATTGGTTATTATTATTATTATTATTATTATTATTATTATTATTTTTTATTTTTTGGGGGGGGGACGGTTCTGAAGGAGCTGCTGCTGTACAGCAACCGACTAGGCAGGAAAAGTCGTTGTCCGACGAAGGCTGGAGGTGACCATGGGATAGGCAAGCCACTTGGGTTGTACTGCGGGCAAACTCAGTACACCTTCTTCCCCTATGTCCAGAATTGATTTTATACCCCACACCCCCCATTTTAGTTGGGTCGGCCCTTCTATGTTGCCGCAAAAACGGGATCCTGCTGACTGAGAGCCTTCCATTACAGAAGTCTCTTGTGCCTTTAGTGATGTACAAGGAGAGTCGGTTGGGCGCACATGATTTCGCTGGGGGTTGGGTTGGTGCACGCTCTGTCCACGTAATGGTTGGCACGGACATTCAGGCTTTGAGATACTTAATTTAGCAGAATGCAAGAACTCCAGAGGCACAAACGGGGTGCGGGCACAGAGTGGCGTGCTTGAATTCCCCTTAAAAAACACACACCCAAAACGGGGTACTCTCAACAAAAAGGCGTACGCACTCATTCTACATGAAGGTTGGATGTTATCGTTTATAAAGCTAGCCAGTTCTTTTTTGCAGTAACTTCACTCGTGACGATGCAATGAATATGTTTCATGCCAGGTTTGCAGGTCTAGCAATGATTCCAATTTGCTGAGATGAGGTGTTATGACAACTGCTTGTTGAAGCGGACAGTCCAAGACAACATGTTGAGATCGCTGCAGGGTTGCTGGCTCTCCTCAGTTGCCTCGTACCATCGACTTGCTGCTGGCAACAATCAAGGTCTTTGCCGAATGGCTCGCTGGGAAGGTCAAATTACTTTGGATCCCGCACCCCACCCACCCCAACCACCCCCACCCCCCCCACCCCCCACCCCCCACCCACCCCACGTCATGTGGGTCAAATCAAGGATTTTGCTCCCCACCCCACCCACCCCCCTCCCCCCACCCCCTTCAGTGAGACAGACCCTCTGGCTCGGGCTGGTGTAGCCAGGCTTCACGGGTGCCACGGCCATTTGCGATGCGCTGGCTGGATCAGCTGCCTGGCTGCCTTTTTGGGTGTGTCGATTTTTTGGCTGGACCAGTGTCCGTTTGCCGAGTCAGGGGTCCCAGGATGAAGGGTCTTTTGCTTGGGATCTTCCTTGCTTCCGGTTTTGAATTGTAGCGCCCAGAGTCAGGGAATCCTTCAAAAGGACAGGGGTTTTGACACAGTGTACTGCTAAGGGCAGGTGTCCCTTTCGGCTTCCCTTTGAACACCTGTTGGTTGGACCCTGCCCCCGCTCAAGAAAAATGAATGCTAGAATTGTTTGGCTCACGTGATGCCATGATTTGCGTTTGGCGAAGGGTCCAACTTAAACGACACACCAAGCCTAACCCCAACCTGCCTAACCCCAACCTAAACCAACCTAAACCACCAACCTAACCCACCAACTACACCAACTCACCAACCTAAACCACCAACCTACCCCACTAACTACACCAACTCACCCACCCTAACTGAACCTCATTCAGCCGAACCCCCCGCCAACAAAAGTCAAAACCACCCACCACCACCCAAAACCACCCAACAACCAAAGCCACCCAACAACCAAAACCACCAACTGAACCCCCCACCAACAAAAAAAACAGAAAGCCACCCACTCGCTGCCCTTCTCCAAGTCGCTGGTGGCGCTGGACCTCGGCAGCAACGGCCTGGGCGCAGTGCCGAGGCTCGAGCGCCTGCCGAAGCTCCGGGAGCTGCATTTGGCGGCTCGACCTGAGGGAGCGCTTCGCGCGAAGCGCCGGCTGGAGTTAGCGGGCCGAGGAGTCGTTCCATGTGGCTGCGGCTCAAAAAACCGGAACTCCAAAATGGGTTGTGTTGGGAAGTGGAAACATGGACCAAGACCTGCGGTTTGCCCCTCCTGTTTAATTCTGAGCCACACCCATGTCTTTCGGTTGGTTTTCCTGGGGGCTTGGTGTGGGCTCAGAGATTGGGCTCAGGCTTGCTGTCTGTGGCTTAGGTTGGATACGGTAGGGTTTAGTGGTACTAGGTCTCCCAGCGTGGTTGGGAGGGTCCCCTACTGAAATAGACGAACCTCGCTACTGGAGGACCTAGTCCACGTGTTCGGTGAGTTTTCCGGGGGCTAGGCTTCAGATTGAGCTTGGTATATGGCTTAGGTTGGATACAGCCTGGTGGGAACCCCAGCCAGCCGCTTCCCAGCCTGTTTTTTGTAGAATTTGTTTTTAGGGTTTAGCGGTAGTTTCCACACCACGAAAAGTTGGAATTGTGGCAGGGGATATGAGGACTGCCCAGTTTGGAGAGTTCTTCCGTGGTGTTCGACCTCGTGGGAGTTGGTTCCCTCTTCGGGTTCAATGGATCATTCCCAGACCTCCAGCGGGGTTCCTCTTTTTTCGACTGCGGAGAAAGTTTCCCATCAATCACCGACGGGATATAAAAAAAAGCCACCGACAGTAAGCCGCTGGAGGCAGAGGGGTTAGCTGAAGGACACCAATTCCATGTCGCATGCCACCCAGCGAACGAACCAACGCAAGGGTGCCTTGCCTGGGATCTGTTTGTGCTGGATCTTCCATAGGTCCCCCAGCGAATGGTGCTCGACCTCTCACCGTTCCTTTTTTTGGTTGGGAGGGTTCCCCTACTAAAACAGCCGACAGAACAAAAAAGGTACTCTTGTTCTAACCTCTCTACTGGAGGACCTAGTCCCTATAGATATCTTGCCGCGCCCACAAGCCCGCCAGCTCTTTCGAGTGTCTGCCTTGCAGACTTTTTCACGTGCGAGATACCTGAGGCTTGGGTGTCTATTTCTGAGAGTACCCCTTTTTGGCGGTTTTTAAAGGGCAGGCAATAGGAAACGATAGGAAAGCCACCATTTTGAGGATCCCCTAGAAAGTCGACACACCCGTTTCTATCTGGTGAGCGAAGCTTTTCCCTCGCTGAGGACTACAATGGACTCGGCCCCGAGTCCGCGGATGCACTGCATCGCGTGGTCGAGGACAGGGGAAAAAAGGTTGGAGCTATCGGCACGGAGAAGCAAATAAGAGAAGGTTACATTTCGCCAGACTTAAGGCACTTGTTTGCCCTTCTGGGCTCTCCACAGAGATTTCTCCCAAAAGGAAAGCTGTCTTCCCACACCTTTTCGACCATCATTGCAGCGTACATGGTGGGATTTACACAGATATTTTCGCGAATCATCTTCAAGGCCAAAACTTGCAAACATCCAGCCAGATGTTTGTTGCATATCATTCTTTCCTGAGGAGTTTTTTTTGCAGAGGATGCGGGCACCTCGTCTTCCCACAATTATCTGGTTCCAGCACCACCCCAATGCCACCAGATAGCTCCAGCGGCTTGCCTTCTACATTTTGAGCTTGTCCGCGCACTTTGTTTCCTTGGTACTTTGAGGATGCACGTTGTCCTGGAAGGGCTTCCATGCCAAGTATGAAGCTTGGCGTTGGCTCAGCTGGCTCATTTGGATAGGTCAGTTCGGACTCCTGTGCTCGTTGCATTAAGTTGTCCTATGTCATTGGTGTGAACCCCTCTGGTGGTTGGTTTTGCATGGAGCCAGAAGGACACCAGCTGAAAAGATATGGCTTTTCGAGCGCGGAAGAAACTGTGGGCGGTTGTTTTTCCCGAAAGCATCGCGAAGGGTTCTTCCGTGCGGAGCCCTTGGACAAATTACACAGAGCCAAGTTGCACAGAGCCAAGTTGCACAGAGCCAAGTTACATAGAGCCAAGTTACATAGAGCCAAGTTACATAGAGCCAAGTTACATAGAGCCAAGTTACATAGAGCCAAGTTACATAGAGCCAAGTTACATAGAGCCAAGTTACATAGAGCCAAGTTACATAGAGCCAAGTTACATAGAGCCAAGTTACATAGAGCCAAGTTACATAGAGCCAAGTTACATAGAGCCAAGTTACATAGAGCCAAGTTACATAGAGCCAAGTTACATAGAGCCAAGTTACATAGAGCCAAGTTACATAGAGCCAAGTTACATAGAGCCAAGTTACATAAGTTACATAGAGCCAAGTTACATAGAGCCAAGTTACATAGAGCCAAGTTACATAGAGCCAAGTTACAGAGCCAAGTAGAGCCAGAGCCAAGTTACATAGAGCCAAGTTACATAGAGCCAAGTTACATAGAGCCAAGTTACATAGAGCCAAGTTACATAGAGCCAAGTTACATAGAGCCAAGTTACATAGAGCCAAGTTACATAGAGCCAAGTTGCATGAGCCAAGTGGCACAGAGCCAAGTGACACAGAGCCAGGTGGCACAGAGCCAAGGTTAGGTAGAGCTTGCGTAGAGCTTCGGCGTTAGCAGCTATAATTTTAGGTTTCTAAGGCGCCGGGGCAAGTTTGATCGTCGCTCGGGATTGCGACCCTCTGCGGAGATTCGCGTGGTCGAGGTCAAAAAACTGAGGATTTTTTACGATTTCTGCGGTGCGCGCGCGACCCTCTGCGAAGATTCGCGTGCTCGAGGTTCGAAAACTGAGGACTTTTTACGATTTCTGCGGTGCGGAGATTCGCGTGCTCGAGGTTCAAAAACTGAGGACTGTTTACGATTTCTGCCGGCCGCGCGCGACCCTCTGCGGAGATTCGCGTGGTCGGGGTTCAAAAAACTGAGGATTTTTACGATTTCTGCAGTGCGCGCGCGACCGTCTGCGGAGATTCGCGTGCTCGAGGTTCAAAAACTGAGGACTTTTTACGATTTCTGCCGGCCGCGCAGACCCTCTGCGGAGATTCGCGTGGTCGAGGTCAAAAAACTCAGGATTTTTACGATTTCTGCGGTGCGCGCGCGACCCTCTGCGGAGATCGTGCGCGTCGCGCCGTGCATTTTTCTTGCTCGCAAAACGGCCTTTGGAAGTTGTCTCGTGGTTTGCGCGCCTGCTTTCGCAATCCCGCGGTCGCGGGTTCGATTCCCCCCTGGTCCGCGGCAGCTCGGCTTGAAAATCGCAGCTTTTAAGTACAAACGTAGTACGTGGCTGGAAAATCGCAACTTTTAAGTACAGACGTAGTATGCGGAGCGTGCTCCCGCAGCTCAGGCTGGAAAATCGCAACTGTTAAGTACAAACGTAGTAAGTGGAGCACAATCGCAGCTCCGGCTTGAAAATCGCAACGTAGTACGCGGACCGTACTCCTGCAGCTCCGGCTGGAAAATCGCAATTTTTGAGTACAGACGTAGTAGAGCGTGCTCCCGCAGCTCAGGCTGGAAAATCGCAACTTTTAAGTACAAACGTAGTACGCGGAGCACACCCAGAGCAACTTGCACAGACCAACTTGCACAGAGCACATGCGCAAAGCGCTTGCACGGAGCAACTGTCGCAGAGCACTTGCGCAGAGCAACTTGCTCAGAGCACTTGCGCAGAGCAACTTGCACAGAGCACATGCTCAAAGCGCTTGCACGGAGCAACTGGCGCAGAGCAACTTGCACAGACCAACTTGCACAGAGCACATGCGCAAAGCGCTTGCACGGAGCAACTGGCGCAGAGCACTTGCGCAGAGCAACTTGCACAGAGCACATGCGCAAGCGCTTGCACGGAGCAACTGGCGCAGAGCACTTGCGCAGAGCAACTTGCTCAGAGCACTTGCGCAGAGCAACTTGCACAGAGCACATGCTCAAAGCGCTTGCACGGAGCAACTGGCGCAGAGCAACTTGCACAGACCAACTTGCACAGAGCACATGCGCAAAGCGCTTGCGCGGAGCAACTGGCGCAGAGCACTTGCGCAGAGCAACTTGCTCAGAGCACTTGCGCAGAGCAACTTGCACAGAGCACTTGCGTGCAGCAGCGTGCAGCAGCTTGCAGAGAGCAACTTGCGCGCAGCAGCCTGGAACAATGCAGCCTGCGCAGACCACTTTCGTGAGAAATCGCGCGGCGCAGTTCGAGAGGAAAGTAGGATGATGAGATGGAGCTCTTATGTGACCATACACACTGAGCATCGCCGCGCGCGCGCAGACACGCTCGCCGCAGCGATGTAAAAAGGTGTCTCCGCGGCTGGATGAGCGCCTGTGGGAAAATGCTTTCGGGCCAATCGTCCTCTAGTTTGTTTGGTTGGATAGGTATGCACACCGCACATGATACCCTTCAAGCGACTTGTCAAAGTCCCCCAAACAGCATTTGAAGCCTAGAACGGTGTTTTCTTTTTGTGCCGAAATCCGGCAAACATGCAAACTGAGCTGTTTGATCCTGCAAGCGGATGCTGGCCATCCATGCATGCTGTTTCCTGTCTCTGGGGTGAGTTATATATACTTCAACGACCCACAAAGGGAAGACCCTATGAAAGCAACCTACAGACATCCTGAGTCACTTCTTGGCCTACTCGATCCCAAGCATTCCGGGGAAGCCATGAGCGGTTGCGACATGTGCGAACAGGTAGGCTTGCAAATCTCAAAGCCACACGCCATGTGTGCAAAGGGGAAAGGAGATGGCCAAGATTTGGGGTACACAAGAAGCATTCTTTTAAGACTCTGGGCCATATTTTGTCTACTCTTACCAGTTGCTCCTGAGACTTTGGGTTTTTTCCTCTGCGCTATGGTGGTTGGGGGCGGAAGTTCCAGCCCCACCCCGAAATGGATGAGCCTTTGGCTTCTAACTGGAGCTTTTTTCCACTTCGATGATGAGAAGCGAGGAAGCAAAAAATGGCGGGTTTTCCCGGTTGAACAACCTAGAAGAAATCTTTACCCCCCAAAATTTGCCCCCCAAATTTGCTCCCGAATGCCCGAATGCTAGAAGAATGGAACCCCTTCGCAGAGTGAGCCTCTTTTTTCAGCCCACTTTGCCACTCTACCCCGGATAAATCAACCCCTTGATCAGGCTGCAACGCAGGTAGGGTATACGGATCAAGGTGACTTCTATTGAGTTCATTTGTTGCAATTCAAGTTCCTCAGCCTACCGTTGAGGTCGGTACGGGGGCAAACGTCACTCTTGACATATTTCTACGGAGTAAGTTTCACAAACCTTGAACCAGAACAAAAACTACTGAAATAGAAAGGGGGGGTATGGACAACCAACTGCGCGTTTCTGGTATTTCGCCGCTTTACGTTTTTTTTGCGAGTTTCATCACATAGAATTGGGTGGTGGGGAACGTTTGAACCAACTTCTTTTTGGGTGTCCTATTCACGTGAGGGTTCTCGGGATTCGAATCGTTCAGTTTTGACCATTTTTTGTAGCTCACCAAATCCTCCAAGATCCCAAGATTTGGGACACGTTCCCATGTGAGCCACAATCAAACCCCGGGTAGATGAAGGTTAGTAAAGGACAATCCCCTTGCCATAAACAGCAGCGGATATCCGCCTTCTTAATTCTTGAAGCATGGTTCTGGGATTACGGCCATTTTAATACCAAGTGTTTCAACCCCCAAAAGAAAGGTCGACCCAATTTGGATGATGACAATCCCTAGGTAAATCATTATATGAACCCAACCATTGACTCATGTCTCTCAGGACCTGCCGGATCTCCGGAGCCTTTGGCTCCAGGGCAACTCGGGTCTGGCAGACATCTCTCTGAGTGGCAGGCCGGCGCTGGACCCACAGGCGGGTTTTGGAAGGAGAGACAGAGGAGTCAAGCGATGCCTGGGGTGTGTTTTGGTGGAAGTGGCAAAGGACCTACGAGAACCCATTCAACACCCAAAGTGGGCTTCGGAATGAACCGTACAGCCATTCCAGAAGAAACATGTTCTCGTCCAAGCTTAGCGAACCCTCCAGACTTCAGATTGTTAGTTTCCGCTTGGGTTTCCCTTCACCATCCAAAACTTATTCGGTTTGGGTCCATTCCCCAAGAAGTGAATTGATCTCCTGCCCTATTGGTTGATTCCCCTTGAGGGAGGCCCAAAATGAATGGGTTTATTGATCAATCGCTGGATGGGTGTGAAGGTTCCATTTAAACCATTGCCCTGGCGGGAAAGAGACGTGGGCTTGCTTTTCTTTGGCGTATGGAACCCCTCAAAATCCCTTCAAAACAAGACCCAAAAAGGCTACCCTTGAAGAAAGGCAATCTCCGGGGTATGAATGTATTAGGAACCCGTTGGACATCATTTACATGCCCGGACGTATATCATCCCGCCATTTCTTCAGATAGTGTTCCAACCACGTCGAGCTGGTGAAGTGCCCCGCATTTTGTTCATGTGCAGAGAGATGATTCCACCTTTTGGTGGTTGTAAACATCACCTTGGGCATGATGTTCAAGCGGGAAACGCAGGGAACCCTGTCAGTGCCACTTTGTATTGTCACGAAAGTCAAGCCGATGAACCGGGGTCCACTCAGGCCATGGTCATGTTGACCACGAGGCACAAGCGACGCACTTCCATGCAAATGACATGTGGTCGGACAGTTACCTGAGCTCACGCATAGTCCACGGCGATGAATTGGGACGTGCAGCCCTTTCAAAGAGTGTGAGTTGCCTCTACCCCCAAAGCCCCGTCTCACAAGCCAAAGTCCAGCCGCTGACAAGCGTTCACAAACCTGCCTGGGGGGTGGTGCTTTTTGGGCTTTGTCGAAGGTTTGTGGGTTACGTTGGCCTGGTGGGGACAAATTGGAAGCTGCGACAGGAAGAGTACGAGCCGGCGACGAATCTTCAGTTCTCCTTGCCTCCTGTGCCTCGTTTGCAGAACACCCTCAACCTTCCCTTTGAAGCACATCGCCCACCCTGCGGATTTATATTCCTGTCTCAGGGAAGAAGAACAGGGAGCGACAACGGGAATTCCACCTCAACCATCAATTGGCAAAGGAAGCTGAGCTTCAGTTGGTGCCCGCCCTGGGCAATGTTTTGGAGATTTGAACTCCTGGCTTTTATAGAGGGTGAAAGGGAAGCAGCCACTAACCTCCAAGCCACCAATCCATGTGAGTACGCGTGTGTGTCTTCTGACCTGGCGCCCTTTTTGTGTGCACCGCCCCACCACACCTCCCAAATTTCGGGTGGTACTCAATGCTAAAATTCGCCCTTTCCTGAAGTTCCAGATTGCTGGTTGCTAATATGGCCGTTTTCCTTATTTTTAGGTTGCCCCCCCAAGAATGCCGGTGTTGCTTTGGTTTCCCTTGAAAGCCGCAACAAAACCGTGTACCCCCCCCAAATAAAAAAGAAGAAGAAGATACAAACAATAGTGTTATTTTAAAAAAGAGAGGAAACAAAGGGAGACAAAAGAAAACGAACAGGAAAAAAAACAACGAAAGATATAAACACTAGTTTTATTATCAACAAAAGACAAAAAACAAACAAAAACAACACGGCCCAACATCTTCGAAGCTTGGACTCCGCCCCCAAGGCCCCGGAGCCCTTTGCGGAGCGCTGCGCGCACCTGGCCGCCGCCGCCTACCTGGAGCACTGCGGGCATCACGCGGTGGCGGCCCGCGGCCAGGCGGGTGCTCCGGCGCGGATGCGCGAAGAAAAGCCACCGGGGGGTGACGTCGTGGTTTCGGTTTTTGTGGGGGGTGGACGTGTTTTCGTTTTTTTTTGGGGGGACCTGGCAGAATGGTGGTGGTGCTTTTAGTTTCCCTGTGAAACGACTCAACAACGTGTTTCCCCCCAAAACAAGACAACAGACCCACATTGGACATTGGCCATGGATTATAGTAAGTAGAACCAAAAGTCAATGTAGAATTTGGGCGCTGCCCAATTGGGGGCGTGTTTTGTCGAGCGCTGTTCGTTTCGCCTTGGTTTCGAGGTTGCGTAAGAGGCACTTCCAATTGCTTAAGGATATGTGTTTTTTCCCTGTTTCCCTTGGTTTTTAAGAGAATCCATCACTGCTCTTTTTTCCGGGGGGTAAGGAAGAATCGCAGGTTTCAGGGGTGCATCCCTTGTCGGCTTTGATATGAAATCTCCAAAGAGGGTTTCGTTGCCGCTTGCCCGAAGCCAGCTGCAGGGAACCTCAGGGAAGGGCTCGATGCGACTTCTGGGCATGGCTTGTGGCTCCCTTCGGAGCTCGGAGAGCAGGTTTTTGCCGGTTGAGGGTACCCTTTTCGGGTCGGGTGAAAGGGAAACCAGAAGGACCGCCAACCAGTTTGATCTATTTTGGGGAGTTCCATATTTTGAGACATACCCATTGGAAAGAGTCAAGGCATCGCTTGTGCCCTCTGAAATAAAGCGAGCGGCGTCTCGCTGGCATTGCTTAGATTGCTTAGCTGTCACGAGCAGTCTTCTCCAGTGGATCTCAGTTCTCCAGTCATGTTCCCTTTAGTCTTTGGGTGATTATCTTGATTACCTACACAGAACTAGAGTCGCTTGGTTGCTTCAAGCCTTGACAGCCTTGTGCAGGTTGATGGTTTAGGATCCATCATCCTGGGGCGGAGTGAAGGTAGTATTGACATGGGCAAATGGAACCATGTGCGCAGATTCTAGTGGCCCACGCGAGGATCACCCGAGGTTGTCCTCGATGGCTGGTTGTTTTATTTGGAGATCCCATATTTACTGGTGGTGAATGAGCCATGATTCTTGCAGGGAGCATGGTCGGCTTGTTTGAAGCTCGCACTTGTTTCAGGTTTGTAATTAATCAGTTGATCATCATGAGCCACAGTAAAAACCCGGGTAGATGAAGGTTAGTAAGTGGCAATCCCAGCCATAAATAGTTGCGGCCGCCGTATTTCCTTTCATGGTTCTGGGTTAACCATTTAAATTCCCGGGTTTGATTGTGACTCATCATTTCCAAGACGACCGCTATGGTCGGACATGGTTTTGGGAGACTGGCCATCGCAAGGTGGTGCTGGCAGCCATCCTCGCCAGTGACACCAGGTGCACCAGTGAGCCTTGGGTCGTTTCCTTCGGCCGGGGTGCCTCAGCGGTCAGTGTCGTCCGGAACGATGTTCGGCCCGAAGTGAGAACCACTCCCTGGTCACCTGCTCGAGTGGCCATTGGGCTCCACTCGGCCTTGTTGCAACCACCGTCCAGGGTTAGTCTCGTACGAACCAAGATGTCAGCGCAGGTGTAACCTTGGATTCCAGTCTTTAGGATCCCAATCGCCCTTTCCGTCAGGCCCATCCCCCAAAACAGCTCGAGTGCCACGGATTTGGGGCCCAGCCCTTCGCACGAGGATCGCCTCCGACCGTTGGCGCATGTGGCAAGTCATCCCAGTGAACCTCTGAGATTAGGCGGAAGGTACAGCGAAACATGTCAACAAGTCCTACCATTTCTGCCAACGTTCATCAGGAAGTCCCCCAATTGGCAAGGCAGTATGTTGATTTGTTTTCGCTGGCGCAGTCGGATTGAGGGGATTTTCCCGTTTAAGCAGGTCTTGGCAAAATCGTTCAAGTGCCGCGGTAGTCTTGTTGGCTTCGTTTCAAAGCGGGTAACAAATTGATTTGGGGCATCTGTTTTTTTGGGGGGGGAACCCCTTTGTGGTTTTAAAGGAACGAAGAATAAACCACAACCTTAAAAGGTCCCCCCTAGGAAATGGACACGTGCCCGGTCCTTTCCTTGCCGCGGATTCGCGGATTGGATTTGCTCGCGCAACACCTGTGGCTCAAGGACTGTTTAGCTGCAAGGTGCAGCTCAGAGCAACTCCTCTTGGGGGTTGGCGAGTGTTCTTGCAAACGGAAATGGCTGAAGTCAGCGTCACAGGACGCAGCCCAAGCCAACGGTTACGCCAACTCAGTGTGATTTTTTTGAGAGATGCTGGTCTGCTGTTTTGTTGCAGTTCAGGGTTAGTTCAGGTGCAGAAGTTCTCAAGAGACCAACTTTGAAATATATCTTCCCCCCTTCCGGCATGGCGCCGAAGAAGAGGACCGGGCCGTGTTTTCTCGGTTCGGGCTGTGGAGAGGGAGTTGATGCCTGAGGTAATGTTCGTGCCTGATGAAGATTCCCCCCCCCCTTTCCGGGTCCCCTCAAGGTTGACAAGGTCCCGCAAAAACTGTGTTTTGCTCGGTCCCTGCACAGCTCCCCCCGATTTTTACCCTCCGGTTCTCCCTGGTCTTCTTGGGTCCTGCCTGGTATTAAGGGTGGGGGTTGTATGGGGAGACAGTCTTTGAAGAGAGGAGAACTTGATCAAGCCTTGAGTTGTTAGACAACATGTAAAAGATTTGCTGTTTCCGGCTAGCTGTTTCGTTTTTTTTTTGTTATTCTTCTTCTTCTTCTTCTTCTTCTTTTTTCTCCGGTTTGGGAATAAGGAATAAGCAACCCCGAAGACCAAAGGGAATAAGCATCGCAAGAAGCATTAGCAGCGGCTTGAAGCTTGTGTAGTATAGTTTGTGCCAAGGGCACAATCTTTGTACATTGCAGCTGGGTTGGTGAATAAGCGGCAAATCCTTCGATTACATCCTTTTGAAAGGAACCACGTCCATCACTGTTGTTTGAGGTTTCTCCGCTTGCTCTCAGCAGCTTTCGGCCACGATTTTTTCAAGGGCGTAGTACTACTGCGCCCCTTCCTAGCGTCATGGATGGGAGGATCAGGCTTGAAGCTGTCCCCAGGCACTTTGCTCTCCGAAAGGCTGAGGTCCTGCAAGACTCATAGAGAGTCTCCCACGCGTGCCACGCGTTGCAACCTTGCCGGTCCCTTTCTCCCCAAACGCCAGTTTGCATTGGCAGGGACATTGCAAAAAACCTATAGGGTTAACGGTGCAGGGGGAAAGCAAATGACGGAGGGGGAGAGTTTCCAAACAAGCAGGTTTCAGCGATTCATTTGGGCATCAGCATGCCAAGACTTGTCATGACTCAACGCGCCAACGGCCCTGCATAAGCATACAATTTGGACGTTATTGTTACGCTCACCTTCAGTTAGACCATCTCCATGGCGGACTACTGTGCCAACCGCACCAAAATGTACAATTCATCTTGATCTTTCGGTGGCGTTCGCAGATGTGATGCCAAGACGTTGTCACTATTTAGTCCTTCATATGTTTCCGCACCTGGACGATGGTTTCCACGGAATGTAACTGGAGAATGGTTTTTGCTCTAGGGTTCCCTGGTTTCTTGTCACCTTTTGGCCTGTTATTTCTCTTGTTCAGTGTAGTCATGCATGGTACATAGCCTCGCGCAGATTATCAGACTATGCGAAGTCAAGACAAATGTTCATTCCGTGCCTTTTTCGTGATGGCAGACACCACCGCATTGGGCCGTGCCACCATGTACATTAAAACACGTTTTCAAATATACTCGAACTCGAGATGCAATGAGTAGAATGAAGCTTCTGTTTGTTTCTTTCTTTTGGGCCTTTGCTAACATCCGATGCTTGGGCTCAAAGCCTGATGTAGGACAGAGTGTCACAGCTGCAGAAACCGTGTCCTCAGCTTGCTGTTTGTGGCAGCGTAGGTATCGTACCCACTTGCGCGCACGAGGCCCAAGCCTCTCACCCCTCAAGCCCCAAAAATATAATCGTCCGCGTGAACATTGGCTGAAGCATGTTCAAAGCGTTGAGTTGAAACCAGCCACCCAGTAGTAATAATGTTCCTGGCAATCCCATGCCCCTGAGATTGAAAGCAACCGGATGCCCTAAATGCAAGTGAAAACCGCATCCAACCAGAAAAAAAAACGTGGGATTTTGCAGGGGCTTCCAGCTTCCAGCGCAGTGGATCTCCTGGGAAACCATCACTGACTTCCGGGACCCAAGAAATCTTTCGGCCAGGACATCCAAGAAGCTCTCCGAAGGACGGCCGCGGGGGGATTGAAACCCGTGCGGTGCAGTCAAAAAGGTCAGATTCGGCCAAGGAAGATGCGCCAAAGACACCTTTGGGTTAGGATTCCCGAAAAAAACAAAAGAAGCTTGGGTTAGGGCCATGCCTGGTCTTTGAAACTGGTCTTCGCACCAGTTTCCAAGGATGGATTTCGGGGGTGTCACTTTACGGCCCTGTGCGACGGAGGCAATTGGTTTGACTCGTCCAGAAACATTTGGGTTGACTCATTGCCCCTTTGCCCAGAGGGTTGCAGGAACCAAAAGCTTCCTGGGCGCGGGGCCATTTTTTTTCATCTTTTGGCAGAGATTGGAGATTTGTCTTGCGGCGCGCGTCCCGCCAGGTTTCGTTTCAACGCAACCTCAAAAGCCCGGTTTCAGGTCAGGACTTGAAGGGAACTTGCCATTTTTCCCACCAAAACCAACAAACTCAGGAGTTGTCCCGTGGTTTCTCGGAGAAACATGCCTTGGGATCGTGGAAGCCAGGCGACGACGGCTCAAAGAGCTCGGACGTGAAGAGCTTCGCAGATGGCAACTCCGATGTGAGCATCGGCAATTCTTCTCCTGAGAAGACGCTTGGCGCTCAGAATTTCAAGGTTCTCTTCAGAACCCAATGGAGCTGGCCGACCCTGGGCTCTGTGTTGTACTTCAGGGTAGATCCATGAAGCAGAGTTTGGGGCTTTATCATCAATTTAGTGGTGTACCCCCCTGGGCCAAGGGCCAAGGGCCAGTCCATGTTCCACCTGCGCCCTGCCTTTACGCCTTTACAGCCACGGGCAGCGTTTGATGCCAAGCGGCTTGTAAGAAGCGATGTTGCCCGTGACACATGGTTACTCTCGGTCTCCAAACTTGCTAGCCCTACATCATCTGAGGTGTCAAGCATCCAAGCCGAAAGGCCGAAGGGACTCGGCATTTGCAAGAAAGGACACGCATTGGCACGTATCAAAGTTAGATTTTAGTTTGAACTCGCTAGCCCCCACATATTGTTGAGGAAGTCTACTTCTCAGGGTCTTCCAATGCATGTTTCCCGTTGCTGCATGCTACTTCATGGTGTTTCGTGGGTCACCCCCCCCCTTCAGATTTTGCTTGGAAGGGATGACTGGAAAGCTGCACGGGTGTTCAGCCGACCGGACGTTTATCCCCTCACATAACAGCCAGGGCAGCTACAATCAGTTGCCGGGGTAGCCAAACTTGGATGCAACTATCAGGTTTCGACAAAATTTGTCTCCCATCCATCTCCGAGTGACGACCCCCCAAAGAAATTTTAGCTTGTTTCCCACATAGTGCACTCCTCAGCCGTGCACGCCCTGTGATCGGTTCACGCCAAGGAAGACGAAGGCGGAGTTCTCAGACGAATGTCAAGAGGGGCTGGGAAATCATCCAATGTGGAACCTGGCAACACAGGGTCCTCGTCACCTGACATGCGACTGCGGTTTTGGCTTTCACTTGTGTCAGTTCTGGCGGCAAAGCTTGATGCGCTTCTTCAAGGCGTACCATAAAAGGGTGTTTGACCATAACACGTTCTCCGATTTTGTTTCGCGTGCAGCTTGTCTTTGAGGTGAAGCGGGTTGATGGGTGAGTTTCGAAGCTTGCGACAAAGTGTCCTTCTGGCTGCTGTTGCAAAGAGCTTTCAACAGTCCAACGAGTCCGGAACAGATGCTTTCTCCAGGAGATCCTGGTTTGAGGCTTGTTCTCGGCACAATGATTGATGTGATTGCAGGTAAGTTTCACATGTGTTCTGGCATGGCTATGGCGGGCATAGCCCAACATTGGCATTCGCCTCTGCTGTGTTGGCAAAGGAAGCTCTAATAGCTATGCCAGTCCCATGCAGCGTACTGTTAACCCCGGACTTTCTCAACCTCTGGCTGCTTTTGCTCGGGTGTCCAATCCCTTTGAGTGGTTGGATTCCGACCACTGGGGGAAATTTCACCCCCCGACGGGTTCCACTTAGAAACTCCCGGGTCAAGATGATTCGCTGGCGAGACTTTTTCTCCAGGCGAAGAAGCCAAAGGAGCGGAACAACGACATGTTTGTTCAGGACTCGAAGTGGCGGTTGATCGCTCACTCGGGCTTTCTCCCACCACTTCTGTGATACAAGTTGGGAATCCCCCGAAGTTCTATGAACAAACAAAAAGTCTTTGGGGAGTTAGGCCCATTCTGCTATTTGTATCACAGATTCGTGGAGTCCATTCCCCACAGCCCTGTGGACGGACTGAGACTCGATCTCGGAGATGTAAACTGCGTGTCAAGCCGACAGCCACGTAAAGCCGGTTTCGGGTTTCGGGGAAACTTCCGAGCGATTGGTGGGCTAGGGGATGAATCCGGGATCTGCTTCAAACGTGATGGCTTGCCCCGAGCTGCAGCCATGACTTGTCAAGTGTTTCTTGTGCATAAATATTACATGCATTATACATTGCTAGCAATTTGTGTTCATCACCTTGGGACAGGTTCAGTTTCGGCTTTGCAGGCTCGCATGTTTTGGAGATTGCTCGGTCAGACTGGGTGTGCTACTTGAGACAGATCACTACCGTTTGAATGTTCCTTCCAGATACGTACTATGTAATACTTATGCATACCTCCCCTTCTGGAGCAAGATTCGGCATGCATCGCAGCTGGACACGGTTTTCCTTGGGAGAGTAGAGTTTTTGTTGATGAAAATTCGGACCCATGAGTTCGGCAACACCTTTGAGATGGTGAAGATGTGCAATGACTGCAACGGACGTTTTTTACTGGTAATGATTGACTTAAGGTCTGGAACCATCCCATCCTCCCATCTTCCGGGCGGCTATCCCATATGAACCTTTTGCCTTGATGTTCAGCGAATACTATCGCGTGGCGCATGCATCAGGGCTTACTTGTGGCCGCATCACCCGTATGGCTCACTAATGCCAACAAAACATGCTAGTTGTTTTGTTTTTTGCAAGCGCGGTGTCCAGCCCAACTGTGGGTTAAATCCATGCCTTGAAAGGTTCTGAATTGTGGTGAATTGAAATCAGGGCTTTTGTGGGTTTGCTTGTCCTGTGGCTTTGCATTTGTTCCTTCCCGTGCGCTGAAATCACAAGCCTCAGATCTCAGGAGACCGGCTTCAAGGGGAAGCCCATTGCCATGACAGGAAGGCGGGTCCCGCCAAGTTGCACAAAACAAGTTGGAACTCCAGAAGTGTTTGGTACATTTGTCTGAAACTGCATCATATGTTTGCCTCACCAGCGTTGCGTGTTCAGATTTGTCCTTCGGATCTTTGGGTTGGCCGCAGCGAACCTCCTTTGTGTTCAGCAACAAACCAAGGTGAATAGTTGCAGCGGTTTCCTTGCAGATGTTTTAGTTGAAACAATCACGGCAAAATGCAACAGGAGACTTCCGCAGAGTTGTCTTGTTTATGTCGGCCGTTCCTCCTTCTATTCCTCCTCCCCCTCCCCCTCCTCCTCTAGCAGGTCGCAAGTTTGCCATGTCATTGCTTCGTGCTGATGAGCCAAGCCTTCCTTATTTTGCATCCGTATGACTATCCTTGCTGAGGATAGGCCATACCGCGTTTCACTCCGATTTGCTTTGTGCAACTTATGAGAACGGCCCTGGGCGAATCATGCCGGCTTGCCAATCTTCCACTGAAACTACATGTGTGAGGGTTGTGGGTGTGTGTGTGTGTGTGTGATGGTTTGTGTTTTTGAGGGCACTCTCTCCACTTTGGTTTAGAAGGGAACCTAACACAAGCACCAACGTGGAGGTTTTTCTATCTTGACCGATTTGGACCGACCTGCTGAGGCGCTATGGAGTAGCCATCACCTGGGACCCAGTAGACTTTTCCAAACCCGTCGACCTCGACCTCCAAGCCATCATCATAGATCGCCGAGGCTACATCGCAGCTTGGCATCCGAGGCGAACCAAATTTTCTCGGGCGTGACGGCCTGCACGCTGGGCCATTGGACCCTATTTTCAGGGCTTGGGGGCAGGCCTAAAGGGGCAATCCAATAGAAACTCTACGATTTTGCGGGTTCCCGCTGTTTTGGGGCAGGACGCGAAGAACTTGGAATTGCCATATTCAGATGAGCTGTGCGAGGTTGCAATTTTCACGACATGTGCTCATGGGCGAAGCCAGCTCAGTACAGGCTTCGAAGCCTTTGAAGCCTTTAGAATCGTTGGTTGTTCTTCATCGAGATGCAGTGATGGGGCCCTCTTTGCTTTCTCCAACCCCCAACTTGCTTTTTGGACCCCAAAAGTCATTCAAAACCAGTTCCTCCGGCCATTTCGCCACAGTGCTGCTAGTCTGCGCGAAGGCGCCCGCATCTCGTTTGGTGTCCTTGAATGAGCTGAAGGTCTAAGGGTTCGGCCGGGCCAGCCGCTTGTTCATGGCTAAAACACGATTGCTTACACAACCTCCTTCTGTTTTTTTTTTTTTTTCAACGGGGCGCCGGGGTCCGCTGACCCCGTTTTCTGATGCTCCCATCTCGGTCTCAGCCTTCAATCCGGATGTACGCCAAAGGATCAGAGTCTGAAACATGCAGAAGTTGCGATGGGCAGCCTGCAAAGCGGCTGGAGGGATTTGAGTCACCAAAAACACAGCATGTCCACTTCAAAAGCTGAATCAATCCTCCTTTCATACCCTGACCTCATCTCTGAATCTCATTATCTCTGCGACGCTCTCAGGTCGATGCCGTGTATTACAACAATCTCGTTGCCTTGAACGGTGCCGTTTCGCATTCTGGGGACGAAGTCACTGGCCAAGCCAGCTCAGGCCTTAGTCCACGTGCCGGTCATACATGGTTGTTGTTGGGAAACATTTTACATTTTGGCTTCTTGTGGTTTAGTGGGTGAAATCCACACTTAACTGCTAAAACAAAAATGCTCCCCTTCCAACGTCAACCAAGCATAGTGCCTGCGAATCGCCTGCGAATGTTCAAGTTGACTTGAGCTTGGTTTCGTGTCGGTTTAGGGTGGGTCTAGGGTTGGGCAGATGTTCTTCTGTCACCTTTTACACACCCAATTGTCCGCTTGCTAGCATGCTCGACTTGTGCGCTCACGGGCGAGGGCACAAATCGGGAAAGGATCCTTGTTGGTTATTCATGTTAACTTCCTTCCTGAACGAAACGGGTTGGTTGCCTGTTCCTCCTTTCAACCCCGCCCAACAATCAGGGTGGTTCGACTCATTTTGCCGCCCCAGGCGACTTCGACGAGATGGTTTGGGCCGTTTTTGCCAAGTTGCCAGACCAGGCGGGGTTTCCAGGGTGACACCGCACCCCTGATTCTTGGTGTTCGGCCGGGCAGCTGAAACCAAATGGATCAGTGGACATAATTTGACTAAACAGACCACGGCTTCCTTACAAGGTGACCAAGCGGAGGTTGTCCAAGCAGAACACGTTTATCAAAAACGAGGGGCTGGCCGAAGCCTGCCATAAGAGCACAGCAAGCCTGGCAACGACAAACATAACAGCGATGACCAGGAGTGGCACCTGAGCTGTTTCCGGAAGCATAGTCAAGCCAACCATAGTTGAGGTTGGTTTCCCGGGGAGAAAGGGAAGCCCAAGACTTTATTTGAGTGCTTCACAACCTCCTCATTCCTTTGCCAGGTCAAAATGCTACTCTTCGTGGTCGGGTGCTCGGTGAGAGTGGGCTTGTGTGGTCCCAATTTGATTTGCGAGCCTCCCTTTGAGCTGAATATCTATTGAACCCACCAAACAGGAGTCCTTGTCAAAAGAACCCATCTTTTTCAAGGGCTTTGGAACATGGATGGAAGGGTTTTGGAAGTCAGGACCTCGCCATCCTCTTGCAAATGGATGTTGCGCCTCATGATTGGGTCAGGAGTCTCACGCCAATTCATGGACTTTAAACCTTGTTGGCAAACCATTTTACCGGCAAACAACAACTCGCTGGATCCCGGCCGTTGACTTAGACTTTCAGGGTTTGAGGGTTTTGTAAAGTTTTCCATTTAGCCCCAGAAAGTTGGGCGTTTAGCAGGGGATTTGAGCACAGCCCTGATCTGTCAAACAATCTGGTTGGGGTTTTGTGGGGGTTTCCATTTAACCCACCAAAGGGTGAGAACTTTAGCAGGAGATCTGAGGACAGCCCAGATGTAGGGTTCGGTAAAATTTTGTGGCAGGCAAACAGTTTGGACTTTTTTGGCCAGTTCACTCAGGTTTTTCAAGGACAAGTGAACGAATGCACTAAAATAACAGCAAATTGACTTGTTAAACTCATCAACATTGGAACATGTCCTGCCAATTTTAGTAAGAATATAACAAATGCTCTTGGGGGAAGTTCTCCTGGCGGACTTGCGAAAGGAAGAATTCTTCGCGCACCGAGGTGGCGGCCTGTGGCGACAGCGCGCTGCGTGATGCAGCCAACGCCACGGTTCACGTGGTCCAGGCGCGAGAGAGAGCCGGGCCAGCGGCCGGCCGATTGTTTTTGAGGCTTGATACCCCTTTTTTCTAGGAGTTTATTCCCCCTTCTGTTCAACCATCGTTCTTGTCAAAAACCAGCTGTTTCCCCTGGGTTCTGATGGTTTTCTAGAAAGAAGGATCCCTGGAAAGAATGGGGAACTTTCCCCTAGATTTTTAGGTTGGGATAGACGGAGACCAAATTCCAAACGAAAGACTCAAAATGGATGAGGGTCCCCCCATTTGGACACCTACCCGGATCTCCCTTTCCTTTTCCGTTTCGGAGAGGGTTGCGCACAGTGCATGGTACGTGCCACTGGGCTAACGGAGGCAGGCAAAGGTTCTTGGATGGCGGCCATGGCGGCTGATTCTTTGTCCGTTTAAAGGTTCAACTTCAGTTTTGTGAGCCAAACTGAAGGTCCAAGTTCTGTAGTTGTCTGTGGCTTACCTTTCTCGTTGTCCCTTTGAAGGTCCAACTTAATCTTTTGAGCCAACTGGGCCAGTTCAAGGGCCCATGGACCGGGTGGGGAAGCGATAGGCTGACCCGGAGGAAACCGGAGCCAAGACCAAAAGAAGCGGTTTTTTGAGGTCTTCAGAGGCGCATTTTGACAACGGATGTTGGGACTTTAACTTTTTTGCCAACTGGGTTTGCCAACAAAAACCAAAAGTTAAACTTTCAGCAGGGGAGCAGAAAGCAACCGAGTCTTGTTGCCTTCAGTGCCCTAAAACGCCCATCGAACCGCGGTTTGCAGTTGAGCTGCCGTCCAATGAGCCCATCCCTGAACTGTTGAGTCAGCAAGCTCGTGGGATGAGGCTTGCGGCATGAATTGGCCGTGGGTCAACGCCAATGGGATCCCATTTTGGGGTAGGTGAATTAACCACCCATTTTAGAACCTATTTTAGTGGGGATTGGGATGTTCACTGGGGGTACGATTTGGATTTTGACCCATGGCCAATTCATTGAGGAACTCTTTCGAGAGTGCTAATAGCTGCTATACCCTTTCACTCGGCCAGCTTTCCTTGATTGATGTCTCCCTCCGCATTCGATACGCCAGGAGTTTCACGGGCACACAGTGCTTCGATTCCCTTGCGAAAAGAGCAGGGCCGATGTGGACGTCATCGTCATGATGGAGCCCCTCGTCTAAGCAAGGCCTTCAGTGATTCGGGGTGTGGTTCCAGCACATTTGCAGGACTGTCCGTGTACTGTTCGAGAAATTGACTGTGGTTGCTGATGCCTAAACAATTACGGCCTTCATGAGTGTTTGGGGGCGTGGTTCCATGGCAGCACATTTGCCGGACTGTCCGTGAACTGGGTGCCTGAAATTGCGGACAGCGTGTCGCATGGATTCCTCCATTGGTTCTCTATTGTTTCCATTGGTTCCATTGTCGCCAAGTGATGTTGGGATGTTTTACCACCAAAAGGGGAAGACCACAATGGTAACCAGTCCTGTGGGCCTCCGAAGGTGGGCGGCCCGTTTGTTGTTTCCTTGCGAAGAGTTTGGCTTGTGACGCGTGTCCCGCAAAGAGTTGGACGCTCTTTGGCCAACCCAGGAAATGAGTTCTTGTGAAGCGCCGCGCGGCTTTAAGACACTGCAAAATCGCACGTGCGGGCAGCTGCCCGTCGCATCACCAATCAAGTGATCTCAACACAGTTGCAGCTAGCATGATTGGCTCATCTGTCGCGAGATGTTCTCCTACGATGCGATCGCGCACACTGCAAACTGTTTGCTCCCCAATCCCTTTCACAACTACTGTGGCAAGCAGCTCCTCCCATTGCACTTCTGCGCATCCCCGGCGGAACAAAGAGAAGGCACAGGGGCTTCATGCACGCCCCGGGCCACGAACTCGCCACACCCCGCATGAGGTATGGAATTCACAAGTCGCCGTCCTGTCCTGCGTGCTTTGTGCTCTTTGGGTTCTCTTCCCTCTTTGGAAGAAGCACAGTTTTTCCGTCCTGAGGAAGGACAACGATGGCAAGTGGTGGCTCTACCAGGCAGGGACTTCTTTGGCCAGACGCGGTTGAGCCCATGCCCACTGTGATTCCCCTACTCGCCTACTCTTCTTTGGAGCGATGAATTCGTCACGCGGGAATTGGTCAGTTCTTTTCTTTTTCCCAGCAGCGCCATCCACATGTCCACGGGTTGCATAACCTATGGCGATCCCATTTTGGGGCGGATGAACACCCATGTACCACCTATTTTGATGTTCACCAGGGGTTTTGTGGGTTTTGACCCACAGCCACATTTCATCTTCAGATTGTCGTGAGTGCGTTGCCGTCAGTTTGCTGGGCTTTGCAGCTCCAGATGGGCCACATGAGACTGTCTTGCCTGGAAGTTCTGAGCTCAAGTTGCTTGGGTTTGGCAGCTCTCCGCAGGCACGCTACCTCTTACAGGGGGAAATCTGCTTCTCCTGTCTCCAAATCGGGACTGCAAAGCTGGATTTGGCAACTTGCCGCATTTCAGGTGGAAGAGCCAGCAGAGCATGGTGAGCACTTCCTCGACATTTTGGAGCCCACTGTTGGGGACGCCTGGCCTGCAATTCAGTTTTGAGACAACTCTGTGTGGCTCGTACTTCGAAGGGAAACAACAGGAACCACACTCATTTGATGACAAACACCATGTAGATGGACCTAGCGGTGACATCAGGAACAAGGCCCTTTGAATTTCCTGCCTTAGCGGCCAGGATTTGTCTGAAAGGGCAGCATTGGTCATGTTCCTTCCGGCAATTCAAATGCTTCTTTGGCTTCCCTTAACAGCTCACAAGGCAACCCTCAAGAGAAGACCCGCGGGCGCTTGAAGCTGCCATGGGCGAGGTTGGAATGCACCCGCTTGTCGGACCCCAGAAGCCAGCTCTGTGGCGCGCTTTGCCTTTTTGTTCCACGCTGGCTCACTGAACATAACCAACCCATAAAGACTTCGTGTGCTTCAGAGAAGAGCACTAGCATTGGGACTGTGACTCCATTCTGAAGCATTCGGCTTCAGTTCGGTTTCGGGGACCACGACCACCTAGGGAGGGAATCACTTATGACCATGGAAACGAGAACTTGTTGCACAGGATCCCATCTAGAAGTTCATTGAAACACATGCGGTCTGGCTCAATGGGACACTCTCACTCTATCTTTACCAATGTGTGCTTGTTTCTGTGCGATTTTGCCAATCATTCCATATCCCCCCAAACCAAACTGGATGGCAGATATCGATCCCTGTGAAACAACACATATCCACCAAATGGTCACCAACTCAATTTCACAGCGACTTTCTTTGCGTATTTGCCCTGTGTTCGTGCCTTTTCCCCAGGACATCATCAGAAGAAGAATCGACAACGCCCCCAAGCTCCAGCGTGTGACCTTCCAGATGAAGAAAGGCACCAGAGTCCGTGCCGGGCCTCGCCAGGTGTGAGTGCTGTTTGTACTAAACGCATTGAACTTCAAGATGAGGCACTTACCCCTTTTTTGGGGAGGGTTCCCCAAATCGACTGCACAAGAAAGGGTTTTCTTCTTCGAACCTCTCTACTGGAGGACCTAGTATTTTACGCATCCATTGGAATGGGTAGGCCACATACAGCTTATTTTTCTTGTGCCAAGTGGGCAGTGTTCAGCTCAGTTCAGCTGTGCACACCTCGATGCTGCTGTAGTGCTTGATATATGTCGCTGCCTTTCCATTTGGCCACAACTCGGGCCAAAATTTGGTGGAAGTCCTGAAAAGAAGGTGCTGCTTACCGCGTGCCAGAGACTTTCCGCAGTGTTTGTTGAACATAGCAAAGTGTCTCTGAAAGAAGAGGTCCAGAGTCTTTTTCAGGAAGCCAAACAATGGGGTCGGCGAGTCAAACTCAAAGCAGATGAAACATATGAAACCTTCCGTGGGCATTGCTTGGCTTCGTAGCCCCACGGAATGTTTCTGGGTCTGCCATGCTGTTCGGGCCTTATATTTTTTCAATGGGTTGAAAGGTGGGAGGGCGTGTTTCGGAAACCATTCAGCTTGTTCTTTGCTACAGTGCTCGCAGAGTCGGAAGGACGACTCTCATGCGGTGAAGTGAGTCCTTACCTCATTGCAGAGGTGACGCTGTTTCTTGTCCGTGCAAGAATCGTAGAAGCTGTCAGGGTGCGGGTACTACTTGCCTTCTTCAGGGAAGCTCTTTGTCCACTTCCATGATCGGAAAGGGGGAGCTGTTTGACACCCGAGCCCATGAAAAGAAGCACGCAGTGTGCCTTGAGCAAGGTCTGGCCACACAAAAACCTTGTGGCGCCATGCCACATTCCCAGTTTGCCAAACTACGTCTTCCTGTTATCTCCTGTTATCTCAACTAGGATCCTTTGTGGGATGACGTTTGACACGCATGAGAAAAATGCCCGAGATTTGGCGGGGTTATAATTTTTCATAGAGCCATGTGTGAAAACGCACCCAAGCAGCAAATATAAGACGCCGCATGACCTCGGAAAAGTCAAGAGCCCGCGGGTCAATTCGACTCAACCTGTTTGCGAATGGTCATTCCGGTTTGGAGTAAAACACCAAAAAGGACGCAGCAGCAAAAAACCACATGGGTTTAACTGGGTTTGGGTGTGTGTGTGTGTGTGTGTGTGCGGAGTGACAGAATGCCCTGTCACCACCGTTTCGGTTTCGCAGCAGGGGAAGGTACCGAATTGCGTGCAGCACCTTTGGCATACTGCACGCAATGAAGCTGTTGCCAAAGGTGGGAAGGGTGTCCAGACGTGGACACCTGTACCTGCTTCAGTGATTCTGAAAGTCCTTTTGGCCCCTTGGTTGCGGCGCTGTTTGTGCTTCTTGTTCTTTCTGGTAACGTTTTCGACACTAGAGGGAAGCCGAGGGCATTGCGAGCCGAAACTCATCATACTCGAGACTTGTCGGTTGTACTCGAGACTCATCAGTTGTACTCGAAAGATTAGCACTCTCCATCTGGAGTTCAAGTGTGTACACCCCATTCGTGGGGAATCCTCGGGTGTACCCATTGTGTGACCCCGGGCCGGCTCTGTCGGAAAATTTGACCTCAACGTGCGTATCATAGAACAGCGGAATTTCACATTTAATCAGGAACGAGGTTTCACTAAAGGGAAGAAAGCCGTCAGTTCATAGTGACGTCTCACCACAGTTGATAGCTGCCGATTTTCATTGCCTACCTGACCATTGGTTGAACTTGTTGCTCGTATCATTGCGGTTGTCGATTGCTGACTTGTATTTGCTTTGCCTTGTACATTTCGCTCGACCATTGCAGTTGAGGGCCGCTAACTTGCATTTGCATGGATTTGAATATTGTCGGGTCTGATTCTCTCAAGGTGGAAGTGTGCAAATTCCGATCTAGTTGCGTCACCATGTCTCGACGTGATGATCGTGATAGATCCAGGACTCGACGCAGACGTGATCGGAGTCCGTCCCCTCAAGCTCACAAAGCACGCCGACGTGAGCACAATGACAACCAGGTCTCGGAGAACATGGATTGGAACAACTTGGTTTCATGGCAACACAACTCCGGCTACAATGCTGCTAACAACTTTCCGATGGTGCCTACCAATTTTCAATCGACTCACAACCCCACACAGCAATTCCAATACCCGGCGATCAACTACATGATGCCGATCCCTCCTGATCCCACACCATCCAAGTTCATGCCACCAATGATGCCACCACCGGTCACTACTTCCCAACCTACACCTTCACCTGGACCTCCTGCAGCTCTACCGGTTCGTCCTCAGAAAGCCTGGCTTACTCCCTCGCCTGACTGGACACCTGCAGACGGCATGTTTGATGTCAATCAACTCTACAACTTCAGCCTGCCCATGACTGTTGCCAACACTCCACATGGCAACCTTCGCGACATGTCAGGCATGGATATTAGGGACGTACGCCTGGTTCAGGTTATCCACGGGGGCCTCACCAACTGGCTACTCAGGCCGTTTGCACACGGCCGATTCGTGACGTGGGAAGGCTTTCGCACCCGCACTGAGGCCTTACTTTGGAGTACCTGCTCCAAATTACTACGAAGATCGCAGTCACTCAACCTGCTCACCCTGGAAAAGGACCTTGCCAACACGCTGGGTCTCAACATTGATGACTTCAATCAGCGCATCAAGGTCCACGACCATTTGGCCAACCTGGTACTTCAATTTCTTCAACAACATCACACCTCTCTCGCACCTGCTGCCCAGACCGATGACATGGTCAAGAAGTTCAATGACTTGAATCGTGCACATGAACTTCTCCAGGCTCAGTATTCCGCATCACTTCGCGCATCGACCTCGCCCACGATGACAAACCAGAAAGATGATGCAGAGTTGGTTACACCGCCACCGGTCAACCACACACCATCCTCGTCACCTGCCAGCTCCCTGCCCACAGCCAGCGCGGCCGCCCTGGATGGCAAGTCGTTTGATAGCGTGGTGCAACCTCGGATCATGCAGTCTCTTCACGGAGTGTCGTCACCGCCGTCCAAACCGGCGGCGTCACAGTTGCTCACCATGCACAGCACGCCGGATGAAGTTGTCAAGTACTACACATGGACCAGTGACCAACCTCGCCTTTTCCTCAAGCAAGCACCCACAACAACCACTTTGGCGTCGCTGGTTAAGTGGGCCAATCACCCGTCCCGGCTCAACGGCAACAAGTCGTTAGATTCTATGGCGACGCAGCTTCTTCAGGCCAGGCAGCGCATGCCGAAGGGCGATGCGCCCACACTCGGTGCAATGGCAGCACTATGGGGTCTTGAACCCGGGTACCTTACCAAACTCACCGAGAAGGCATTGAGTCACCTCATCGTGACCGCTCGCCTGCTTTGTGGATGAGAAGGCATCATCGACCTTCGTTCTCATATGAGCCCGGAGCGGCAACAATGTCACGGATGAGTCCAGGTGAAAACTCGTCCGTCAAGTGTTTGCGTTGCACATGATTGATCTTGTACTTGCTTGTTCTTGCATTGCCTCTTGTGTGATTGTCTGTGATGCTTGTATTCATGTCGCCGCCTTGTGGTAGATTTCGTTGGTTGCATCTCACCATGTTGGATGAACTTCGCCACTGCGGAATCTATGATGATGTTGCACAATGGCAGTCGCTGGACGACCTTCTGCACTCGTTGACTACATTCTCGACGTGCTGGCATTACTGTTTCCCTGGACTACCACCACCGTCGATTCCAATTGAGGAGTACGAATCCATCACACAATTGCCGTGGCTGGGTCTCATCCTCGAGGTCTTAGTTGTGGTCCGGATAGCCCTCCAGATTCCGAATTGCGCTATGTCCAACTCTCAGCACACCGTGGCCAACAGGTACGAACTTCACAGATGTCGGTGCGCTGCCTATTTATTGATCAGTTTCTTACAACGTCTCATTTCACAGGATCACGGCTACATCCCGCCGTTCTTCGAAGTCCTTCACTTCTACAAGACTTCTCTCTTGTGTGAAATCATGCACTCAACTTTCGCTGACACGCGACATCTACGCTCATTGCGGGCGCGATTTCCTGACCTCTACGACTTCATACATGATCCAGGTCATCACCAACAACCGTGCGTCTACATTCGACTTTCCCCATGGCACACACCATACTATGTTGGGGCGACTGATCAGGATGTTCTACGTCGTGAACACTCACGCAGTCGCAAATTTCTACAACTACTTCGTGGACGGCATGCCTTCTTTGAACCGGCGCTTCACTACTGGAAGCGATCCAATACTTACTGGCTCTTCTGTGCTGTACCAGTGGAAATCAAACTTCCAGTTTCCTCGGTGTGGGTTCAAGAAAGCAAATGGCAATACCTGCTACGCCCGCATTTGAATGCGCCCTGGGTACACAGAATCTTGCGCAAGGTGGGCTTCCGGGAACATCTTGTAGATTTTCGACGCCGCTCGTTGTCGTCGCCCACTTCCCTCGGCTTGCACAAGCGCTTTCGACGACGACTACATCCGGATCTCCAACGGCAACTACGACCTAACACCCTGGATGAAATGATAAGCGGCGGCGGTGTGTCCGGTTTGAGTTGTTGTTCACATGATACTTGCTTGCTTGCACGTGACTCAATCTTGCTTGCCGTGTTGCGAGATGTCGTTGACATGCAGTGATGTCTTTCCTGAGTTGCTCAAATCATGTCAGAACAAGTTGTACAGACGTACATAGCAGCATCCCACTACTATGACTGCATTCATGCCAAGGATGGCAGGTGGAAACTAAGATCTTCGATCGCAGTGCCCAGCTACATGGGCATCTTCTGGTGAACCATGGTGGCATGCCAGTACAATAGCGTTGCTGCTGACCTGACGTGTTGTGCGCTTTGTGTTTTTCATGATGTACCTCATGACGCTCCTCTTCCGGAAAAACGCATTGAGTTGTCCGTGGCTCATGGTTGACTTTGAAATAAGGGTGGCCTCTACACTTGCATGATCTTGCTTTGCTGTTGTTTGAACATGGTTGTGCATGGTGCTTGTTCACCTACTAGCTGGATCGGAGCCCGCGACCATCCTTGCCTCTTGCCTCGACATGGACATCGATGATTCCAAGCAGTATCCATGGCTCGAATATTCGGTCTGGCATGATCAGGAGTGGGTGCGGATTTACACTCCGGGACAACCTCAACGATGGCACCGTGGTGACGCCGTACCTGATCTACCTGAAAACTCTTTTCGTGAATGGCAGCGGGTGACGGATCCCGAAGCGCCAGTCCAGGCATGGGACATCCGTGACTGGCAACACCAAGGGTACCAGCGCATTCTGTCTCGGATTGAGTCCTTCGCAACTCACACTATTCACATGATCAGACTCTTGGTCAAGGTCGGAACTCCGATGCCGTTCAAGTTGAGGAGACCTTCACCTATGCCACTCCGTTTTCTCATAGTGATCGCCCGGCTGCTTCGCATATTGCCACGCCCAGTTCCTATGTGTCCTATCACGTGTGGGAGTACCGAGACTGGCAAACGCGAGGGTACCAACGACTTGGACCTCCTGTCCAATCCATCGGACTCGCGATGCTCGCCAACGCAGACATCGAGTCCTCGGTGGGCTCGTCGGTACCTGATGGAGCGTGGCGGGAACCGTCACCGCCACCATTCCATGATCCTTGGAATAATTCGGATTGACACTTGAGTAGCATGTTGGATAAAGATGAGGTTGTGCGTGCTTTGTATGTGAGTTCTCATTGGGTTGTCTTGCTTGGTGCTGTGCATGTTGTCTCCATGTGTCCGCCGCTCTCTGTGATAACTTTGAGCAGCTTGTTGGGTTGAAATGTTCAATAGTACGGTGCAGGGTGCAGCACGATGGGTCCTACCTCGCTATTTTGACTATGACATCGTCAATGGACCAGCAGGAACGAGGGTGGAATGGATTCGAATCTATGTGCCGGGTCAGTGGCATCCAGTAGCACCTGACACCCTGGGACCGGCCCCGGATGACCCGACCGCCTATCGGGAATGGCGCAAGGTCTACCACTTCGAAGTGTACTGGCCCAGGGAAAGCACTGGCGGCACAACTATAGGCACGGCTCTGCAACCGGTATCCCACGCCACTTTCTACACTTGGTATTACAGGGACTGGGTCACCAGGGGGTACCAACGCCTGGGTCGTCCGCATCCCAGCATAGCGAGGCCAGTTTTCGCTTCGGGTGCACCGGACCTCATGTATGCTGGAATGACCTCCTCTTCGGCATCATCTAATTCACATGATAGCTGATGCCCGTCCTCGCCTCCCTGGAGAGTCAGACTGTTATTTCCTTGTGCGGTGTTGCTTGCATGATTTGTTGTTTGCCTTCTGATTGCTTGCCGTCGCCGCTTTTAAGTCATCACTGGTTGATTGGGCCCTGGTTGTCTCATCTTTCCGGGATTGTGATGGATCATGGGGACATTACCTGGACCCATGGAGCGCAGCCGACGTGGTTACAATTTCATGGACCCGGGGCTCTACTCGACAGACCCATTCGGCTGACTACGTCGCCTCCGCCCCCGCCCAGTCTGCCACTGCTTCTTCCACCTCCTCCTCCACCACCACCACCACCACCGGTGATTCTACACCCCCAGTTTATGCCCTCGGTACGCAGTCCCTCGATCTCAGCCCCTCGCGGACAATCCTGCCCTACCTCCTTGAAATCGCAGCGCACACGCCGCTCGATCTGCAGCACTGACCCTTCCCGTGATGAAGTACCACGCAGTCCAGGGCGCTCGTCCAAACGATCTCGGACAGCATCAGCTTCAGCGCCGCGGCGATCTCGACGGCCCTTTACAGTGTTTTATTCCAAACGTGCTGGCCGTTCATCGCGATCCCCATCGGCAACATGCAAGCATTACTGTCACGCCATCCTGCGCCATGGACGGAAATGTCTTTCCCCTTGTGCACGTAGACGACCAGGTCACTATCATTGCAGGTGTGCGCGACATCAAAGACAGTGAAAGCCAGGTGTCAGACATTTCAGACCTCGTTGACCCGTTTCACCTTGTGTTTGAAAAGTTGCCTCGCTCCTCAGTGGATGTGTGTGGTTGGCAATGCATGTGTGTCCTTGCCGCAGATTTTCGATTGGTTTAGCAGTCGTGCAAGCCCGTATTGCTGCTATGAACCCCCAGTATTTCGAGTACCAGATCGATAGAGGAGTGGAATGGATTCGAATTTACTCTCCGGGCATTTGGAGGCCCGTTCCTGAGGAGGCGCCAGTTCCGGACCCACTTTACGCTTCCACATTTCGGGAGTGGCGCAGATCATATCACTTCCAAGTGTACTGGTCTGAAGACAGCACCGGAGGCACCACAATGGATCCGATCGCTTCAGTCCTCTATGGCGACACTCGCAATGCTCAACGTTGTGATCTTTCGTTCCCGTCTTCTGAGCGGTTTAGGGCAGTGTCTCGCTCCCCTCGCCGTGGTGGATATTTTGGTCAACGATAGTGATTTGAGTTTGAGCATGTGATCTTCCTGCAGGAGAAAAGAGAAACCTCGCCCCTCGTAGAGGGGCGTGTGTGTGCGGAGTGACAGAATGCCCTGTCACCACCGTTTCGGTTTCGCAGCAGGGGCGTGCAGCACCTTTGGCATACTGCACGCAATGAAGCTGTTGCCAAAGGTGGGAAGGGTGTCCAGACGTGGACACCTGTACCTGCTTCAGTGATTCTGAAAGTCCTTTTGGCCCCTTGGTTGCGGCGCTGTTTGTGCTTCTTGTTCTTTCTGGTAACGTTTTCGACACTAGAGGGAAGCCGAGGGCATTGCGAGCCGAAACTCATCATACTCGAGACTTGTCGGTTGTACTCGAGACTCATCAGTTGTACTCGAAAGATTAGCACTCTCCATCTGGAGTTCAAGTGTGTGTTCCTTTGCCATGTGCGCTTCGCTTGCGCGCAGGCGCCGCAGTGGATCTGCCGAAGAATGCCTTGAAGAGGCCGGGCCGCGGCTCGGGGGTGGGTCGCTTGGGGTTCGGTTGGGTTCCACACATGGTTGTTGTTGGGAAACATTTTGCATTTTTCCTTGTTGTGGTTTAGTGGTTGAAATCCCCACTTAACTGCTGAAAATTAAATGTTTGCTTCCCTTCCAACGTCAACCAAGAAAATGGGAGGCGTAAGGGAAACGCAAAGTCTGAAGCAGCCCCAAGGGTGCTGAGGGTACCAAGCCTTCAAAACACAGGCCCGGAGTTTCTGGAAATATCCAGCCAACAAGCTGTGGTGTTCGAGACGAGGGCTTTGGTTCCTCATTGATTGGCAACAGCTTTCCACAAGAAGTCGCGCCGGCAGGGGCCAGAAGACTGCCACGTTGCTGTGCATCTTTTGGCCGAACGGCTAGGGGGCGTTCTTCCGCATTATGTTTCCCCTGCCGCGCAATTCCCTTGAAGCCAAAGGCCTCGAATTTTTGTTTTTTCCCCCAGCTTCGCGCCCTCCAAGGGCTGGCCTCCGAGGGCTGGCTCTGGGTTCGCGGGCTCCGCGGCTTTTCGGTTGAAAGATGTTGTATGGGAGGAGCAACGCCGCAGAATCCTTCGGATTGTATTTGCCGAGTCCTTTTAGGGCAAACAGGCCGTTGCTTGTTTGGCCAAAAGGACATCCTCAGATGGAAGCGGACAGTAGTCGCTCTCAACATACATGGGTGAGGCAGACACTTCAAGCCTCGCGGGAGGTTAACGCCAAACCGCAGACGGATCTCGATGAACTGCTTGAAAGGCAGACCCTTTCGTTGGTACAACTGCAAGCTTGCCCGAATAACTCCATGTGATCGCTCAGAACGGGACTAAAGCCGCGGCCGATTCAAGGCGCTGTGGATTTAGCAACTATTCACCCTGGTGACATTAGGATGGTGGCCTCAAGAGTCACCCGATGCACAGTGTAAACTGGTGAGACATATACAGCTCAGCTGCGCACGGTCCGGACGCCGCATATCAACTTGTTTTTGGCCGCAGGTTATGAATGTCAACTACAAAAACAGGGCGCGCGCCCTTCAAGACTCCCATGGAAGTTCAGCCCTCCTCTCGTTTGAGACTGGCGGAAATTGGGACTGTGGCAACTTGGGTATCGATGTTTACTCGTATCTGTTCTGAGCGGCACCCTTGAAACCTTTGATTCCACGACCGTGGAGTGGGCTCGAGCGGCACGAATTTGAGGGGAAAGGTGTCCCGGGTCAGAACTTCGACCGGTGCAATCTCGCGCAAAAAGTTCGCCAGGCTGAACTTTTCGGTCATGGCCACGATCAAGGCCAAGGTCCGCAAGGAGATCGACCTAGACATCTCCGCCGTCTTTGCGGACAAGGCGCCAGTTGTTTTTTTGTTTGAACCGAGGGCAGGTGCGTTGCGCTCACCCCTGGAGTTCCAGGGTGCTAAAGAACAAGTTGTGCGGTTCTTTTGGCCAATCCGCATAGGAATCGATTTTGGCTCGATGAGTTTGGGATGGTTCTCGCTTCTGAAATTACGAGCTCACCGGAGCTCGCCCAAGGTGCTTTGGTAGAGGGATCCGATATTTCCACTTGTTGCACCTTTGAAATCCCCTTTCGTCGCATGACTCCCGCACCTTGTTTCTGATGTTCAAGGGTCCAACCGGTGACAATTCATACCTATTTGTCGAACAAAACATGATACCATAGGGAAACTCCACTAAATTTGTGCCCAGGTGATAAACTATCCACAAGGGGACATGTAGTTGGACCCCTACACCGGCTGGCTGCCGCTTGTGTTTGCTCTTGTTCAGCTGGATTACTTTCCCTCCCACCAACTAACACCAACCAACATGGAAATGCACAGGTACCTTTGAAAGACTACCATTGGGGCCTGCGCACTTCCATGTTAGAGTTCATGTGGTTCACCCGAGTTCAATCCAATCGCAAGAAGCCAATGAAGAAGGTGGCGCATGTCTGCATGTTGCCGCGTTTTTCCAAAGAGCTGCGGGGGCTGCAAGTCGGACAGGTCGTTCAATTCTCGCAGGACTCAAGTACCATTTGCTGAGTGGTGTGCCCATGTCTTTGTGCCCAAAGTGTTGCTACACCTTGGCTTCATTGCTATTGTTATTTCCAGTGTCTGGAGGGCACTGTTTTTGATTCAGAGCAATACCGCAACACAAACTGGTTTAGGTTTCTTTCATCTCCAAGAAATTAGGATGTTTTGTTGGCTGCACACAGGTCCATTCAGTGACTCCGGAGTACTAAAGTGCGTCCTGCTCAAAAAATGTGTATTCATTTGTACAACCAAGTATCGCAAAGCCCGCTTGCTTCAGCCCAAGGAAACAATCCAAAGCCTTACGCGACAAGCTGAGCAGATTCAGTTGATCATTTGGCGGCCCAAGTCCGAGATGGAGTCTTAAACAATTTGACAGGCAAGAGAGTGTGATGCCCTGGATTGCCCCAGATGTACCGCCTGTATAGGTTAAAAAAAAAAAAAAAACAAACAAAAAAAACGAGTGAGATTGTTTGATCGGCTCCTTGACAGGCGCTTGCTCCTTGACACAATGCCTGTCCGGGCGCGTTGATTGACAAGCATGTTCGTGTGTCAAGCTCTTTCCTTCTGAACTGGGCCTCACTTGCAGCGCGCCAGATCTGAAATTGGCACCCGTTTTGGTTGCCCATGTCTGCCCCAACCAGCCTATGCTTTGGGTCAAGGCTCTCGCCCAAAGCGGTCTTTTGGTGGCAGGAAGGCAACTCGCTGGGCGCTTGCTGGCACAACAACCTGGAAATGCCGCTGGACTGCACTTGTTGTTTTGTGGCCGCGGAATAGAAATCTGTGCGGCGAATAATTCGACTGAATGAGGTGTTGGGGTCCCTGATTTGGTGCGAATCCTTGTATTCTGCCCAGATGTGGCCGGGTTTCTCTCGGAACAGGGCGGGCGGTTGGATGAGTTCGCTTTCCCAGAAGAGACCTGGAGGTCTTTGCGCCCTGCGCCGGCAACAAATCAATGCAGGCAGAGTCTTGCATGTAGGTCCAGCGATGTGGAACTGGTCCAAATTCCAAGGCTCGCGAAGGTCAGGCTGCCATATGGATGCAGGCAAGCGTTCGTCTTATCTTCCTGCTCTGAGGAAATACAGTATGTCCGTCTCTCTAGAAGGTCTTTCTTTTGCATGCAGGACAAACTGCAGAGTTGTAGGGCCAGAGGACAAAGTTTGAGGCTTTCTCGAAAGTGGCTTTCTTGAAAAGTGACATCATTTGAGTCGGCGTGCATTTGTCACTCACATAGTTGAGAAGACTCTGGCTGGCATCAGAAAAGCTCACCAAGCTTCGCAAGAGACTGCGCCTGCAGCCCAAGAGAGACTGTGGTACGTCGCTTGCTCAGAACTGTAAAGGTAGCCAGCTTACACTTTGAACGGAAGAGACGTGCGCTTGGCATGCTTTTCCTCAACGACAGCCATGTGAGTATGTTTGGTTTTACCCATCTCTTGTCCCTTAGCCGCAAGCTGCTTGGGCAGCACACCCTCAACACCTGCGGACGTGATTGGAGATGACACTCCACTTGAGTGTATGTTTTCGTCCAGTCTCTGATCTGATGATCTGATTGCCAGTCTTCAAGCCACTAACTCTTGGAATTTCTTGAACGCCTACGTGGTCCGAGAAGTTTCTGGGTTTGTGTTTGTTTGCTGTTTGGCTGTGCTTCAGCGATCAGTCATCACTTGTTTGGGTCCGGGAGGGCCACCTGATTTTGCAACATGTCTGAAGCCGTAGGAATTGAATCGCTCGACTTAGGGAATTTACCGCTTGCAGCGTTTCTCCTAGTGAACAACACCTGAACAAATACAGTCACTTCTATAGCCCCTATGGGAAATTATGTTGGATGGCAGATGGGAGGAGCTCGCGCAACTTAGGACTGCAAGCCGCAAGCTCTGCATGTGATAATCCAAAGAGACATGCGATTCAGGATGGAGCATGCTAGAACGGCGCGAAAACCAATACCACAGGGAATCCCGGGTCGCAAAAGTCGTTGGGAGAAAGACCTTGGCTTCAAAGTTCTTGAACCTTTCTATACAACCGGAAACGCAACACATTGCATTTGTTTGGCATTGACAAAGTGAACCAAGCAATATAGCGTATGCTACGTCCGAACTCAAGCCACAGAGCGAACTTCCGGCAGAGGGAGATTCGCAGGTGGGGCTTCCAGCATAGCGGCGACCGGGATTCCGACGAGGACATCAACGTGGATCTTATGCAGGTGCCTCTCAAGGCGCGAGGGCTTCATTTGGGTTTATCATCTAGGTCCCCCAGCGAATGGTGCCCGACCTCTCACCCAACTTTTCTGGTTGGGAGGGTTCAACCCTACTAAAATAGACTACAGCAAAAAGGGTACCAACTTAAACCCTAACCTCTCTACTGGAGGACCTAGTCATGGTTGCGACACATGGGGTTTTGGGAAGCTATGACACACATAGTCCTCTGGCGCCACGAGAGCTGGAGAAATTCTTCGGCGCATGGCGCAGCTGCCTCGTAGCCTTGATTCAAAGTGAGTGACGGACCTAGACCTCCACTGGTGCACTGGTTTCCTTTCTTGGGAGGGGGGTGTCCCTTTTACTGCGAAAAATCCCTGCGAAAACCGCCTAAAAAGGTAGGAGGTCGTCCGTGCATTGCACGCCTGGTCAGCACGGCCATTGGCCTGGTCACCAAATCGGCTTAAAGGCAAGAGAATCTGCGGCCTTGCTGGCCTTCGCACTGGGGTACATACCTGGCTGCGATATGATGAGAGTTGATGTTCTGTTGTGGTCAGTTGCCTGCTGAGTTGTGGTCAGCCCCGGGCTATCGTGTTCACTTGTTAAGGGCCTCGAATCAGGACACCACCAAGTATCGGCAACCCGGTGCTATTTGGAGAGACCCAAGCCTCTTACGACCCATGCTGAGCCATCCCAGCAAGGGATTTCAAGTTTGACGGCTCCGAAGGTGCACCAGGTCTACATCATCGTTGATCTGGTGGCACCCAACTACAAGGACACAGCAACGCCGTCGCAACGCAACCCTGCTAAACCAACGCCTTGTAGCGCACGCTAGCGCCGACTGGACCAGGGTCTATATGATGATGCAAAGTGGGACATATTCCAAGCCGAGACCGGGGTTCCTGGAGCACCAATTTCCCGCAGGAACCTTTGGTGGGTTGCATGCAAGTAGAGGGGAGAGTGTACGTTTGCTTTTTTCCAATGTCCTGGAACCCCGCTGACATGTTGACCATCCGCCGAGGTTTTGGAGGTTAGCTCATTCGGTCAGCCAAATGTTGTCTTCCTGTTGGCTTCCCATTGATTGCCGCCTAAACCAAGTTGACAGCCTCAAAAACCAACATACCCACCCGCCCCGCCCGCCCACCTGCCCGCATGCCCACTCACCCACCCACCCACCCACCCACCCACCCAACCCCACCCCACCCCACCCCACCCCACCCCACCCCACCCCACCCCACCCCACCCCACCCCACCCCACCCCACCCCACCCCACCCCACCCCACCCCACCCCACCCCACCCCACCCCACCCAAAAATTCACAGACATAGGAGGTGAGCTTCAAGGACATCACCTACGCCTCCTGCATGGCGGGGGTGGTCTTGTTTCTCTCTCGCGAAGTGGGCGGTGGGCGCGTGAGTTGGGAGACCTGTTTCACCTCTGGGGCGACCCGCAGGAAAGCCACCGAGTCCTGAACTTTTTCTGATGTGTGGAAGTAGATGGCACGAAGTCCCCCAGTTTGGTGTCATCGTTTTCGTTGATTTGTTTGCTTGCGGCCGCGTTCACCTTGGTGTATGCCGTTTTTGCTGCAAGCAAACAAATGGACTTGGTTTGGTCAACCTTCTCTGGAAGTGAGTGCATTTTGTGGCTGGGCGCTGCATGACTGAGTTTCCTCTAAAAGAGACCTGACAGGAAGGACCGCATTCACCCAGATTCAGCAAGGTTGACCAAGCCTTGGAGTCCAAGCAGGGTCACTACCATCTGACAGCCCCCGGAGATGTGGGGGATCAACGATTTTTTTCTTGGCAAAAGTGTAGCCGTTGCGGTTTTCCCCCGAGCACGGTGCAGGCCAGCGATCAGAACTGCAAGACCCTTGCCAGCTTCACCCTAGAGAGCTCCTTGGGACAACTGGCGGCGGGGGGGGGGGGGTTTCGGTCAGGGATTCCTGGCAGCAAGCTCCACCACGTGTTGAACGGCAGGCATTTTGAGGGATATCCCCTAAAATGTACAAAGACTCGCCTCCACTCCACTTTGGCACAAGGGGTGTTGCCCACAATGCCGAGCCTTTGGCCAGCGCTCCAGGCTGCTCTTTGGGTGGATTTTAAGGCAGGGAGTCCATTTCCTGGAAACGGTAACCAAGTGAAGCTGCGATTCAAAAGCTCAAGTTGGCAATGAAAAGATTACCTGGAAGAGTGGTTGCCTGGGATTCGCTGGGATTGTTGGATCCCGTCAACTAAAATACAGGGCCACTGAACGTCTGGTTCGAACCGAGTGCCGGGATTGGGGAGGCCTCTCGCAACCCGAATATGTATACATATATATATATATGATGTATATATATATATATATATGTATACGTCTATATATATATATATATATACCTGGACCCTCAAAAAGGAACATTTTTTTGCTCATTACGTTATTTTTGCTCATTTTGCCAATTGAGCGGAATTTCCGAAATCTACGCGGAAACTGCAAATTTCATGTTCCGCACCCATTTTGTGGCAAATCCAGCAAATTTGGCCACCAGAAATGCGCGGAAATCGGCGGACAATGCGCGGAAATCGGCGGAAAATGCGCGGAAATCGGCGGAAAATGCGAGGAAATCGGCGGAAAGCCCAAAACCAACTTGTTTTGAACATGGCTGGTCGAACCGAAATGTGTGTTTTTTGGGTAAATGAGCGTGTTTTCCAACAATGCGCGTTTTTTTTGCTTTTTAAGGAAAATGTTGGGAAATTGTTCTCAAAGAAGATCTAGGTATACACGAACACTTGCAAACCATTGCTCGCTGCCTGACATGTGCACCATGTAGTGGCAACAAATCATGGTGCTGATTCTCGACAAAACCGTGCAGTGATAATTGAGGCTTTTATATTCCACTGAAAGAAACCCCAGTACAAAGGGACTCCCCTTGATGATAAGTGAGGGTTAGGGTCGACAGGCAAACAAGGACTGCTTCGGGCCGACTCGCCGATCTTGTTGTCACTTTGATTGTCTCGAGGAGCATGAGTCTCAAATCATAAGGGACGGTGTCAACAGATTGTCCGATGGACGCAACGCGGAAATCTCAGTCTCTTCCTGTGTATCGCATTTGCTAAGATTCTCAAGGGAAGCCAGCTGCGCCATGGTAAGGTGGCTAGGGATGGTCATGGACATTGGGTAGGGATTTAAGACAAACATGAGGAGCGCTGTCCAAGGCACAAATGGAAGCATGACAACAAGTTGACTGAGGCGAGAAGGATGACTGCAACAATCTGCCCGGTCTCATTCTCTGCAAGTCGACGGCTCAGGATTTCAGGGTGGGGTCACTGAGCAAATAAAAACCACGGGGATTTTCTGCGGGAAGCTCGCGAAGTTCCCGCCCAAACATGAACGAGGGAATTCGGCTAGGCTGTAGAATTTCCAGCTGGTTTCTTGCATAGTTCAAGGATATCCTTTGGGTGGCAAAGGGCCATCTTTGGCCAATGGCTACACTGTCCGTTGGTGAAATGGAGGCTGAGACAGGGATGCTGTCGCCATTCGAATCCAGCGGTGTTTTTCTTCTGGTGAGTGGCTTGAACGCCCCAGGATTCCTTATATGGCCATGAATTTTAATAGGGAACCACCTCAAAAGTGATTGGTGGACATGAATCCCCACCGAAACAATGTCCACCAAAGGGTCCCTTATTAACATTCATAGCCATATGTATGACTTTTTGGAAGCAACCATGGCATTGCAACCGGCGGCTGGTCAGAAATTCAGGGCTTGGTGTGCTCCGGAGGTGTCGGTTTGTCCATGGAATTTTGGCGTGTCATGCCCCGGTCACTTTTTTTCTTTTCAATAATCGCTACTGGCCATTTTTCCTGTTAATTTTAAGACTTTCATTTTTGTTCCTATTGGTTTTAAAGGGAATCGATCACTGGCCATATTTTGTCATTTTTTCCAGGGGACTGAAGCAAATGGCCCCAGCGATCCATGACAGGTCGCCGGACTCATCGCATTTGGCTGTGGGTCAAATGGGATCCCATTTCGGGGTAGGTGAATTCACCACCCATTTTGATCTTACCATTTCGGGGTAGGTGAATTCACCACCCGGCCTAGTCTTAGTGGTTGGATTGAATCGGATGTTCACTGGGGGCTAACCGATTTGGATTTTGACCCGCCGATTTCGGAAGGCTGGTGCGGAACTCTTCGAAGCGCTGGGAGCTGGAAGCCGTGGGGACCTTCGTGCCCGGACCCTCCTGGAAGGACCCGCGCGGATCGGCGCGCGGATCGGAACTCGAGGAAGGAACGAGGAACTGAGGAGCTGAGGAATCTGAGCTGCGGACCAGAACACCCAAGTCTTGGGTCTTGGGGAGTCCTTTTTGTTGTTCTTTCTCGTAGGGAAAGGGTTTTTGGTGTTTTTTTTGGGGATACAATTTGTGTGTTTTTTTTTTGTTTGTTGTTCTTTTTTTTTTGGGGGGGGGACCGGGGGGGAGTATAATAATTAATTTTGCCGGGATGGTCTGCAACCTCGAAACTGGGGGTTTTCGAGAGAGAGCCATGACCAAGAGTGACCCACTAGCACGTTCGCAGACGCGGGATTCGATTGCAAGGCTTTGCATATGCTCCTTTGGTTTTGGGGGAGGGGGCAATGGAACTTGAGTCGCCCGATTCTCCTTTGAGTTCCATGGCAACGTTGAGGGTCTAAACGGTAGAGGTTCAAGATATAAGGGAGCGGGACACAGCAGCACAAGCCTACGCGGCCGCAAAGAGGACACAGCAGCACAAGCAGTGAGGGCGCCAGGTTTGCTTTTTGACCATTTTTGACCCCACTGAGAGGGAAATCGAGGGATTCTACACGTGAGGTCAAACCACGGCCAGAAGTCATGCTGGCGTGTTGAAGCGTCTTTGGCACTGTTTCTCTCTGTGCCGTATTTCCTGTGAGGCCTTTGGACAAATGTTTCCCAAGTGGCCCTTGAATTCTCTCCGCCTAAGTTGTCCGCCAAAAACATATCCAAGCAGACCTGAGACAACAGTCCTTCCTGATTCGGGTCGAATGGTAGAGCTACTCACTGCACTCACACCCACTCCACTCACTTCACTCCTCGCCCCACTCACCCCACTCACTCCACACACTTCACTCACTCCACTCAGTCAGGAACACTGCACTCCCGCAGGAAGCCTGCCCAATGATTCTGCAGATGAACACCTCGGCCAAGCAGCAAACGGAGGCCCAGGCACGGCCCCGGATCAGGATCCGTCTGCCTACCAACGCACGGGTGAGCTGGATCCTTGTCACAGGGAGTCTGAGAGCAAATATGGGTTGACACCAGCAGGCTTATGTTGGATCATGGTAAAACAATGAAGCCAGACAAAACGACGAGAGTTTCCCCTCGGTTTCCGAAACCACATGGGCCGCTTCAAAGAGAGGCGGATCCAAATTGGCCACATGACAAGATAGGGTATGAGCCTTTCCAAAATGGTTGGTGGACGCAAATCCTACGTGAATGAAGTCCACCGAAAGTTCCCCATGTACAAAGCACCAAGAATGGTTATTTTCTTTTGGCTTCCCGTTAAAGTAAACTTTAAAGCCACCAAAAAAGGGCAACCTAAAACAGACACCCAAACCATACATATGAAGTAAATCATAGAGAACGACTCAAATGCACGGCAATTCCATAGCACCGCAGCTATTCTGTCCTATATGCAGGGGTGACTCTTGTCCTTGGTATCTTTGGTCTACAATGCGGAGGTGACTCTGGGGATGAAGGTATCCCATCTTCCATTTGTGCGAACTGTAGCAATGATGTCCAACCATTGTAGGTTGGTGAATCATGATTGTTTACCCGGATGTCATGGCCATACGGCTCTAAGTGGTGGGTTAAAGGGACATAACCCCATTTTCTGACCTTGATAACCCCGGAAACCGTCTGGAAAGGAAAGGCCTGCGATCACTTGTCACATTGGGCTTGTGTTGGGGACTTCCCCCTCAGATTTATTTGGGATTGTTCGGCCTCCCTCCCTGTGGTTTGGCACGTCTTTCTGGTAGGGTGCAACCAATCTCATTGGCATTTTTGTTCAGCGCGTGCCTCCAGACCCTCACAGCAGCAGCGGCAGAAGCCGCCACAAGGCGGGCACGGGGCACGGGCTTGTGGTTTAGCTCTGGAGATTGGCATGCCACCGGTTTTGGGCAGTTAGTTCTGGGATCCAAAAAAAGCCAGAATCTGAGGGTACCTTCCCCATTCTGGAATCCTTCTTTCTAGAAAACCTCCGGAAACCCAGGGAAAACGGCTGGTTATTGAAAAGAACGATGGTTGAAAAGAATGGGGAGTCAGACCCTAGAAAGAAGGTTTCCTCTTGGTAGAGCGTCCTTCCTTTTTTGGAGGCTTCGACGGAGAGATCGGAAGCGGTTAAGTTTGCGTCCGAGACACGAGCTGACAACGGCATTCAGCAACAGTCCGGAAAGCGAGTGCTTGATGACGACGCAGTTCCAGCATTTTCAAATTGCCAATTCCTGTGAAAAGGCTTACTGACGATCATGTGCGATGAACATCTTGACTCGGGGTATGTATGTGGCCAAGATGGCGCGCATTTTCTTTCCTGACAGTCATGATGAATGATGTTCTGCACACTCGCCTGTTCCATTGAATTTAGGCACAGTCAGTGCGACGATGTTGGAAGAGCGTTGATGTGTTACCTGCTACCCTGCAGCGAGCAGGACATGGTTTGCTTGTCAGCCTTATGCCGGGGCTCTAGACATTTCAGAGGCCCCAATCAATCATCATCTCTTCAGCACTTTAGTACTTTCCAAGGGGGATGAGGGCATCCACGATCCAATGCTTGGACTGTTCGTGGCACGGATTGGAACCGTGTAAGGGGGTGCCTTACACAGAGCTCTAAGAGCTTCGGTTCTGATCTGCTCAGAGTACTGCGTGCGTCAAACTGTTTCCAGGTTCGCAGGCTTAGTTGTCGTTCCTTTGATATTCATCACGGGGTCTGTAGCCTTAGCTTTTTTCATCCCCAAATAGGATAGTTGGCGCAAAAGACTTTGAGCGCGACTCGAACCTCGAAACGGCCACTTGCTGAGCCCCTGCTTCGCTTGCAATGCTTAGGCCTGCCGAAAGCGTTTCAGAAAGCGTTGGCCAAGCAAGCCACGATACTCTAGTGATGACTGTGACCCTTTCAGCCAATCCAAGGAATCTGAATAGCTGTATACCTCAGTCTGGTGGCTTTAGTTTTGTTCAGTGGAATCCGTCCATGTTGTTAGGAGCCCTTCCGTGCACAGAATTGCTGGCTCGCAGAAATCGTCGGATAGACCTTCAGGCGGAGATCTCGCCTGGAATACCGAGGCGCGCCGGGCGAACTCCTAAAACCACCACACACATGGAGCCCAGCAAGGGGCAAGCAGACGTCTCTTGAATGCGATGTTTTGAGGTTCCATGGAAGAGATCGGTGTGTCCTTTGTTGTTGTTTTTTTCAGGGGATCCCCCCCAAGATGGTGCAAAACTGCCAAACAGTCATGCCCTCAACAAAAAGACGCAGTCGCATGTTGTGGTGCCTTGAACCAAGCAGCCAAAGTGTCAACGGCGGCTCTCCGGGAAAGCAATATTGAGGCCAGGTATGCACCCAGATTCTTATGGCTCTGGTCGGTGAACAGCTTCACAACCCCTGGTTTAGAATGAACATGAAAGCACAGTGTCTTAAGTAACTTATGAACAACAAACTCGCCTGGCCTGTGTTGGTGCTTTTGCAACACGGCTTGAAGACCAGTGGCCTGTGACTCTGATGGCAGCCTTCTGGGTGAGACATGTGATGCATCTCCTTGAGTTTTTGCCTCAGGTGATTGTGGCGTACTCCCCATGTGCAATCCAATCACAGGAATTGAAGGGAAACTGACTGAAGGCAATCAGCAATGTCATCAAAGAATTCAGCCGATGCTGTTTTTGTGATGCAATGTGGTCCGATTCTCCTTCTTGCCTTGTTTATGAGAGGATCGACCACAACCCCTGCTTTTTCAGTAAGGACTGAATACGAAAGCAGTTTTGGTGTTTCTGCGCATCCATGCAATCATGCAATGAATCAATCAATCAATCAATCAATCAATCAATCAATCAATCAATCAATCAATCAATCAATCAACCAATCAAAGTCAAGTCCAGCAAATTCAGCTCAATTCCAAGCAACTCAATCAATAGTTCGTTCATACAGTGTCACCTCAGTTTATAGCACTTCGCCTCATTTAGTCTCACCTCATGTTACTTTAATTTCCTGTCATCGTATCTTTGAATCTTACTTCAGTTTGCTTTACCTTCGGTCATGTCGCACGTTGTTCTTACTTTATCTCACGTTGTGTCATTACCTCTCATTACTCAATCTTGTCATTTCATCTCTTTTCATATGCGTTTCTTGCATTTCATCTCTCTTTTCATCTCAGCTTATCTCATCACATGATGTTTCATCACATCTCAGTGCATCGCATCTTAGTTTGCGGCCTTTCATGCCACGTCACAATGACTTCATTCATGGATTTATCCATCCGTCCGTCCATCCATGCATCCATCCATCAATCCAAGAATGCATCCTTTCTTTCTTTCTTTCTTCCTTCCTTCCTTCCTTCAATCCTTCAATCCTTCAATCCATTCATGCATTGCAGCCTCGCAGCGGCCAAGATCAATGCCTAGCCGAGTCTCATCTCAGAATGTGGTTTGATCTCGATAGAACATCTCGGTCGATTCCTTAGACCGATGAACTCGGAAGCTCGGAATTTCAGCGCAGAGGTCAAGTCGAGCTCGAGTTTTTGCGAGTTGTCTGGAATCGTGGGATCCGAATTCAACTGAAAAATGTTAAAACCTGGGCTCGTGTTTCAGACCAAGGGGAATATAGTGGTCTGATGGTAGTGGACATGTTGCCCTTCAGTAGTGGTCTGAGGGTAGTGGACATTTTGCCACGTCAACCTCAAACCGCGTTTGTGACAACTTCCCACGTCGCACACCCCGAGCAGGTTCACTGCCTGCAGTGGCCCAGGGCGGGGCAGCTCTATTCGCAGAGCCAGGCGATGCAGAGCAAGGCGCGGAGTCCCTCAACACCGCTGTGTTTCTTCACATGGTTCTGGGTAGACCATTTTACTACCGGGTTTTGACTATGACTCACTTCGCTGTATGGTGGGGGTCTGATTGATACCGCTGTGGTTCTTTTCCTTCCCCAGAATTAGCTCCCCTTTGGGTTTCTTGTTTTTTGTTTTTTTGGGGTCCCTGGGCAATAAAGATGATTTTTTTGGCTGGGGTCCCAATTCCAGCCTAGTTTCTAGGCCCCCCAGCTAGGTGCCCTAATCGTCTCTCATAAGGAATTCGGTTCGTATGGAGACCACCCAATGCTGAGAACAAAGACTTCCCGGACTTCCCGGACTTCCCGTTCATGGCACGTGTTTGATGTTTTTCTAGGTCCCCCAGCTAGGTGCCCTTTCTCACCCCCCCTAAAATAGACGACTGAAAAAGTTGGTACCAACTTATTCTAACGACTCTCAACTGGAGGACCTAGTTTTGAAAGTCAGCAAAATCAAGACCAAGGGCTGCACTTCGTTCATTGGGCACCGGTCCGGTGCAATGCGAGTTCGGCATGCTTCAAGAGAACCTTCATGCGATATCAGCTGGCATTGCTGCGGGCAGTCTCGGGCGCTTTTTCGCCATGACCGGCCAAGCGACTGTTTGAAGTTGGTTTCTTTCAAGAACACTTTCCAGTGCTGACTACCCACTGACAAATATAATTTCCCAGGATATCGAACGATGTTCACCTTCATTCAATGATTCCATTGCTGACATCATTTGGGCATTGAATCCAGTTAACAGCAAGTCAATGTGTTGCACTTGATGCTGAGTCTGTTCAGATTGTTCAACCCAGTGCAACATATAATAGATAGTTATGAACAATCTGACTGCGACTACATCGGAATCTATATCAGAGCTGCAGTGAGTTTGATTCGCTTGCATGCGGAAGAGGGCTCTGTTAAGCTTGCAATTCAGAGACATTTTGTTCCTCAGAGAAGGGGGGAACGGCAGCGGAACGTTTCGAGTCACAGGCTCTCCAGGTGCTCTAGCAGAGCCGGAGGCCGGGAACGGGAGCTTGCGCGGCCATGTTCAAATGGTTCCTGTGGATTCTTCCAAAGATACTGTATCGTCAAAGAAAAACTCGGCTCAGCGAAGAACCGGGGCGAAGCTTGCTTCAGGAAAATGGCTCGTGCTCAATTGATAGTAGAAGGTCAAGCAATGTCATGCTCGTGCCTTCCATAGCTCATGTTTGAGGTTAGATGACCAAACCTGGAGAGTCGAAATGTCCGTTTCCCTTGTCAGGAACCGTGGCTCTGGCAAGGGTTTTGGAGCACTGCTGGATGATACATATAGGAAGTCTCAAAGGATAAGGCTTGATTTGCCCAGACTGCAAATTTGTCATCCTGACTTCGAACACGCTCAATTCTGGTCAAGGCAGTGCATGGCGACCGATGAAGATGCTCGCTGGTTGATCCCTTAGACACCATGTTTCATCCAAACACGCGTGATCAAAGAGTTGCCTGCCTGAAGTAAATACAAGTAGGGATAGCCATGTATAGTCGAGTGTTGTTTTGTAGAGCATTGCACAGATCCTAACGAGCCATGACACCATTGACAACGGTGACTTTTTCTTACCCGCTGTGGGAACTTGAGAAGTCGGGACATGGCCCTTCCTCTCACAAATAAAAGACAGGGGTACAGAGCATTTTTCGATTTTCTTCCTCTGCATGAATTTGTTGGGTTCGGTGACACGGCTTTGGTATTGTGCGTTTTGTTGCATTGGCACACGGAGGCTACGTCTGCTTAGAAAAGCATAAGACAGACCTTTGACACCGCTGGGAATGGCCTCTGAGCGCATCCTCAGTTGGTGGATGGATGCTGTACTTGTTAGTCGATTATCCGATAGGTCTCGGAACTTGGGTGCTTAGGCATACCCAGTTGTTCAGTGGCACCCCAACCATTCTTTGCTTGTTGGGTTGCAACCAAACATGGTCAACCAAAAACAAGAGTTCCTCTACCCGCCAGGTTGGGTCTCCCATAACTCGGACCATGTCCAGCCGTCAGGCAGGGCCAGATCTTGACACAGAATTCACGAGCCCAGGATTCAGGTGACAGGTTTCTTTTTAATCCGCCAGGTTGATGAAGAAACACTATGCACTTGCAAGATTGTGGTTTGTGATAAGGCAACCTTGGTGTGCCTATGAGTAGTTATTGATGCGGATTTTTCCTTGTGCGCATGACCAGCGACTTGTCCCACCGTCAGGTGCTTCATTCCACAAGAAGCAGGCTATATAACGAGTATCATAGGCTGTATCAGGTGTGGTCTCTTTGGCCTGGCTTGAGGGTTTGAAATGGGTGAAATTCCGGCATTCCGGCAAAACAAATCCTTCCAGGCTCCAGGGGAGTTGAGTGAGGGCAACCATTTGAAATTCACGGGACGTTCATTGGAATTTCATTGGACAAGCATTGGAAAGGAATTGGTTGCTGCTATTCCATTTTAGAGTTCTGTGAACATCCAGTGAAAGTCAGGCGTGGAATTGTCCTTGAGTCTAGCTGTCCTGGACAAGAATATCATTGGAGTTTTGCTTGCATGTTGAATCGACCCTGTTTGAAATGCCCCATATCGCCTCATAATTGTTTTTTTTGGTGACATGTGTTTACTCATTTTCGCATGACACCCACATTTACATGCACCTGGGCTCTTTCCGATCGGCTGCACAAACTTTGAGCATGACTCCAGGGGCACAGGCTTGGGCGAGACATTTCAGTCCTTCTTGTGTTGGTCCTTTGACGCATTCCAACTTGAAGTCGATGTCTGACTCGTGCGCGGCAATTGGTCCATGCCTTGTTTGGCAAAGGATTCACTGGTCCATGGTGATGGCTGGGGGTTAGAAGCTGTGCTCCTTCTGTGGTGTGGAGAATGGCGACCAGGGCTGAAGCAATCAGACTGGGATTGCGGGGTACCTTGACACCCATGTGGGGTCCTTTGACACCAATTTCAGGCATAGAATAGGCAGAAGGAGATCATGAAAGAGTCGTTTTGCCCCTGAGAAGGCAGAAACACTTGGCGGGGCCTAATCCCAAATCGGGGCGTTGCGCTCGAGAACATCCGCGCATTGCCGGAGACAAATAAGCTCGAGACATGGGCCGATGCCAAAAAGGGTTCGCTCTCCATGGACCCAGGAAACAGCGGGTATCCCCAAAAAATGTCCAAGAGAGGCTTCCAATCCCGTGGCCAGCAGCTGGCTGTGTGCGTTTGCCTGTACTTCTTTCTGCGATGGCCATGGTCGAAGTGAATGTCGTGTTAGGCTGATACCAGACAATGCCTCAGAGGTTGGCATTCGAATGGGCCATCCAGGCTGTTGTTCGGGCCACGTCGTTTGTGTGTCTGTGTTGGCGGATCGCGTATGGTGCAACAGCACATTGCAGACCCTCCTTGCCCCAGGGTGACTTGACTCCACTACGTAATCCTCGCAAGTTACTTGCTGTGGAAAAAAGAGAGAATAGCTGGCTGAAGCTCCACATCCCGCAGCAGAGTCGGCCTGACTTTGTGTGCCAGCTTCCGGCTAGGATCCCTCAAACTGTATGTGCTGTAGCATTGGGCCAATGGCAATTTATCGAATTGCAACCTGGGTTGGTCAACTTCAACTGGGCATGAGCGCGTTACGCGCGGTGTTCGGTGTCGAGAAGCTATGGGTGGGTGTGGGTCACCCTGGAAACTGGAAGCAAAGACATAGAACCTGCGGTCCGGTTCCCAGTGCCTTAATTTTGACCCATACGTGCGTGTGGCTCAAAATTAAGCAGGAGGGGTTTCGCAGGTTTTGGTCCACGTTTCCCCTTATTAGGGCAACCCATTTTGGTACCGGCTTGTTTGAGCCACAGCCCAGTGAAAACCTCTTCGTTCAACAGGGCTCCTCAAAAGATCTCCATTTTGCCAATTGAAACATGTGGCTTTTTCCGTACCAAAATAAAGTTGGAAAAACCACCACTGACAAGTTGCAATGTTGTTTTTCTGTAAGGATCCCTGTTCAAAACGGTCCGATGTTTTTTGCAGGACTCCGAGCCGCCGAGCATGGCGACCATGTCCATGACCATGGAGAGCGGGGTTCCGGTGCCGAAGGACCGATCGGCGGTTCCTGGGCGGCGGATTTGCTAACCTTTGGTTTGGACGATATCGGTGGCAAACATTGGATTGGCTTGTTGTGGCCAAGGCAAAAGGCCAATCCATGGTGAGGAGCGGGGCTCTCTCCTGGTGAAACACGAAAGGTTTTGAGGCCGTATGTGTGAGCGGATTGCTCATCTAGGGAGAGCCCGCCTCCTGATAAGAAACTTCAAGAAGCAGCATGAACCGATAAGTGGTTGACACATCAAGGGCATTTTGCGGACCCACCTGATGGTATTGTGAACCTCCACACAATGAGGGACGCGGAACAGAGTTCACACTCTTTTTACTGACAGATTCAGGGCCGGGTGTGCCTGTGTCGTGGCATGGTCTTGCAATTCGAACTGCGCCGCTGTACCTGGTTCCAGCTCTGGTCGTTAACATTTTCGCCCGATGCTTGAGGTACCCCCGTTTTTTTTCTCCCCGTTTTTCTTTCTCTGGGTTTGGTCGTTCACATGTTCGCCCGATGCTTGAGGTTACTCTTTAAAAAAGCAAAAGACAACGTTCACATGTTTGCCTGATGCTTGAGGTACACCGTTTTTTTTTTTTTCCCCTGGGCAGGCAGTTTTGAGAAGTGTCTCGTCCTTCTGCGTTTGGAACCGAAAGGACATGGCGGCGAGGCGGCGCCAAAGGCCCAAGACGAACGGCATGATGGCCTCTTGGGAGGAGGCCAGAGCGGTGCGCGGGGCCGTTTTTCTTGGTGACTCCCGAAGGCCATCCGGTTCCTTAAATTTTTTAGATCCCTTTAGTGTTTTGAGTGCAGTGGTAGTTTTTCCCTTTAACCCACCAAAAGTTGAACGGTTCCTTAGCTTTTTAGATCCTTTTAGTGTTTTTAGTGGTGGTCTTTACATTTAACCCGCTAAAAGTTAAACGCTTCCTTAGCTTTGCAGATCCCTTTAGTGTTGTTAGTGGTAGTTTTTCCCTTTAACCCACCAAAAGTTGCACGGTTTAGATTATTTTAGTGTTTTTAGTGGTGGTTTTTACATTTAGCCCACTAAAAGTTAAACGGTTCCTTAGCTTTGTAGATCCCTTTAGTGTTTTTAGTGGTAGTCTTTCCCTTTTACCCACGAAAAGTTGAACGGTTCCATACGCTTTTTAAATCCTATTAGTGTTTTTGGTGGTGGTTTTTACATTGAACCCACTAAAAGTTAAACGGTTCCTTAGCTTTGTAGATCCCTTTAGTGTTTTTAGTGGTAGTTTTTCCCTTTAACCCACCAAAAGTTGAACGGTTCCTTAGCTTTTTAGATTATTTTAGTGTTTTGATTTGTGGTTTTTACATTTAGCCCACTAAAAGTTAAACGGTTCCTTAGCTTTGTAGATCCCTTTAGTGTTTTTAGTGGTAGTTTTTCCCTTTAACCCACCAAAAGTTGAACGGTTCCATACGCTTTTTAAATCCTATTAGTGTTTTTAGTGGTGGTTTTTACATTGAACCCACTAAAAGATAAACGGTTCCTTAGTTTTTTAGATTCTTTTAGTGTTTTTATTTGTGGTTTTTACATTTAGCCCACTAAATGTTAAACGGTTCCTTTGCTTTTTAGATCCCTTTAGTGTTTTTAGTGGTAGTTTTTCCCTTTAACCCACCAAAAGTTGAACGGTTCCTTAGCTTTTTAGATTCTTTTAGTGTTTTTAGTTGTGGTTTTTTCATTTAACTTTTAACCCACTAAAAGTTAAACGGTTCCTTAGCTTAGATCCTTGCAGTTTTTAGTGGTGGTTTTTACATTCAACCCACTAAAAGTTAAACGGTTCCATACGCTTTTTAGATCCTATTAGTGTTTTTAGTGGTGGTTTTTACATTGAACCCACTAAAAGTTAAACGGTTCCTTAGCGTTTTAGACCCTTTTAGTGTTTTCAGTGGCGGTTTTTACATTTGACTTTTAACCCACTAAAAGTTAAGCGGTTCCTTAGCTTAGATCCTTGTAGTTTTTAGTGGTGGTTTTTACATTTAACCCACTAACAGTTAAACGGTTCCTTAGCTTTTTAGATCCTTTTGGTGTTTTTATAGTTGTAGTTTTCCCTTTAACCCAATAAACGTTACGGTTCCTTAGCTTTTAAGATCCTTTTAGTGTTTTTAGTGGTGGTTTTTACATGTAACCGACTAAAGGTTAAACAGTTCCTTAACTTGTTAGATCCCTTTAGTGTTTTTAGTGGTAGTTTTTCCCTTTTACCCACCAAAAGTTGAACGGTTCCTTACCTTTTTAGATCCTTGTAGTGTTTTTAGTGGTGGTTTTTCATTTAACCCACTAAAAGTGAAACGGTTCCTTTGCTTTTGAGATCCCTTTAGTATTTTTAGTGGTATTTTTGTCCCTTTAACCCAGCAACAGTCGAACGGTTCCTTAGCTTTTTAGATTCTTGTAGTGTTTGTATTTGTGGTTCTTACATTTAACCCACTAAAAGTTGAACGGTTCCTTAGCTTTTTAGATCCTTTTAGTGTTTAGTGGTAGTTTTTCCCTTTTACCCACCAAAAGTTGAACGGTTCCTTAGCTTTTTATATTATTTTAGTGTTTTTAGTGGTGGTTTTTACATTTAGCCCACTAAAAGTTAAACGCTTTCTTAGCTTTGTGGATCCCTTTAGTGTTTTTAGTGCTAGTTTTTACGTTTATCCCACTAAAAGTTAAACGGTTCCTTAGCTGTTTAGACCCTTTTAGTGTTTTTAGTGCTGGTTCTGACATTTAACACACTAAAAGTTGAACGGTATCTTAGCTTTTTGGCCCCTTTTAGTGTTTGTATTTGTGTGTTTTTACATTTAGCCCACTAAAAGTGAAACGGTTCCTTTGCTTTTTAGATCCCTTTAGTGTTTTTAGTGGTAGTTTTTCCCCTTAACCCACCAAAAGTTGAACGGTTCCTTGCTTTTTAGATTCTTTTAGTGTTTTTAGTGGTGGGTTTTACATTTAACTTTTAACCCACTAAAAGTTAAACGGTTCCTTAGCTTAGATCCTTGTAGTCTTTAGTGGTGGTTTTTACATTTAACCCACTAAAAGTTAAACGGTTCCATACGCTTTTTAGATCCTATTAGTGTTTTTAGTGGTGGTTTTTACATTGAACCCACTAAAAGTTAAACGGTTCCTTAGCTTTTTAGACCCTTTTAGTGTTTTCAGTGGTGGTTTTTACATTTGACTTTTAACCCACTAAAAGTCAAGCGGTTCCTTAGCTTAGATCCTTGTAGTTTTTAGTGGTGGTTTTTACATTTAACCCACTAACAGTTAAACGGTTCCTTAGCTTTTTAGATCCTTTTGGTGTTTTTATAGTTGTAGTTTTCCCTTTAACCCACTAAACGTTACGGTTCCTTAGCTTTTAAGATCCTTTTAGTGTTTTTAGTGGTGGTTTTTACATGTAACCGACTAAAGGTTAAACAGCTCCTTAACTTGTTAGATCCCTTTAGTGTTTTTAGTGGTAGTTTTTGGCAGCCGGCTCTCTCGGAGCCGTGTAACTGTCATCGAATCTGAGTCTTGGGGTTGGGGATGGGGGTGGGGGGTGGGGGGTGGGGGGGGGCCAATGAATGCGGCGCTTCCATTTCTGCTGTCATGTGCACCATAGCCGACGGAGCCTCCAGCCTAGGTCATTTCAGCTTCTTCTCGTGTAATCCAAGCGTTCATTTTCGCATTATGTTTATGTGTTCCAACAAGCGGGATTTTGGGCATATTTACTACGTATGTTTCTTCCAGCATCCCACATTCCTCGGTCATGCGAAATGAGCCGGCCTGCTAGCACACTTGGAGCGCAATGTGGAATTTGCTGGATTCCTTATGGAAGCATATGAAACGCTGGCGCCCTGAGAGCCTGCAGCAAAAGCTGAAAAAAGACAGCCGCTGCAATCCTCTCATTTTTGACTGGGCCTTTAGTTTCGTTGCAAAGCACAATGCGAAGGCATTGAGCTCAGATCCGCAAAAGTTTCTGGCCAAGGCTCTTTGGGATTAGTCGCGCGCAAGACACCCAAGAGTATAAAGTGCGGGAGGCGCGCGGCTGACAGGTCCACAAATTAGGTCAAAAAACGAACTTTTCGGGGACCCCCTTTGCACAGCCCATGTCGCAAGAAGTTTGAGTCAAATGAGGCAAAAACACCGCAAATACCAGTGAATTTGCCTTCTCGCACTTCAAAACACGCAAAATGCTGTCGGTGACAGTTACACGGCTCCCAGAGAGCCGCTTGCCTAGTTTTTCCCTTTTACCCACCAAAAGTTGAACGGTTCCTTACCTTTTTAGATCCTTGTAGTGTTTTTCGTGGTGGTTTTTCATTTAACCCACTAAAAGTTAAACGGTTCCTTTGCGTTTTAGATCCCTTTAGTATTTTTAGTGGTATTTTTGTCCCTTTAACCCAGCAACAGTCGAACGGTTCCTTAGCTTTTTAGATTCTTGTAGTGTTTGTATTTGTGGTTTTTACATTTAACCCACTAACAGTTGAACGGTTCCTTAGCTTTTTAGATCCTTTTAGTGTTTAGTGGTAGTTTTTCCCTTTTACCCACCAAAAGTTGAACGGTTCCTTAGCTTTTTATATTATTTTAGTGTTTTTAGTGGTGGTTTTTACATTTAGCCCACTAAAAGTTAAACGCTTCCTTAGCTTTGTAGATCCCTTTAGTGTTTTTAGTGGTAGTGTTTCCCTTTTACCCACCAAAAGTTGAACGGTTCCATACGCTTTTTAAATCCTATTAGTGTTTTTAGAGGTGGTTTTTGCATTGAACCCACTAAAAGTTAAACGGTTCCTTAGCTTTTTAGATCCCTTTAGTGTTTTTAGTGGTAGTTTTTACATTTATTTTCAATCCCACTATAAGTTAAACGGTCCTTAGCTTAGATCCTTGTAGTTCTTAGTGGTGGTTTTTGCATTTAACCCACTAAAAGTTAAACGGTTCCTTAGCTTTTTAGATCTCTTTAGTGTTGTTAATTGTAGTTTTGCCATTAAACCCACTAAAAGTTAAACGGTTCCTTAGCTTTTTAGATCCTTTTAGTGTTTTTAGTGGTGTTTTGTTTTTTCGTTTTCCCCACTAAAAGTTAAAAGGTTCCTTAGCTTTTTAGACCCTTTTAGTGTTTTTAGTGGTGGTTTTTACATTGAACCCACTAAAAGTTAAACGGTTCCTTAGCTTTTTAGATCCTTGTAGTTTTTAGTGGTGGTTTTTCCCTTTAACCCACTAAACGTTACGGTTCCTTAGCTTTTTAGATCCTTTTAGTGTTTAGTGGTAGTTTTTCCCTTTTACCCACCAAAAGTTGAACGGTTCCTTACCTTTTTAGATCCCTTGTAGTGTTTTTGGTGGTGGTTCTTACATTAAACCCACTAAAGTTAAAACGGTTCCTTACCTTAGATCCTTGTAGATTTTAGTGGTGGTTTCTTCCATTTCACCCACTAAAAGTTAAACGGTTCCTTGGCTTGTTAGATCCCTTTAGTGTGTTTAGTGGTGTTTTTTCCATATAACCCATCAAAAGTTAAAAGGTTCCTTAGCTTTTTAGATTTTAGATCCTTTTAGTGTTTTTGGTGGTGGTTCTTACATTTAACCCACTAAAAGTTAAACGGTTCCTTAGCTTTTTAGATCCTTTTAGTGTTTTTAGTGTTGTTTTTTACGTTTAACCCACTAACAGTTAAACGGTTCCTTAGCTGTTTAGACCCTTTTAGTGTTTTTAGTGCTGGTTCTGACATTTAACACACTAAAAGTTGAACGGTATCTTAGCTTTTTGGCCCCTTTTAGTGTTTGTATTTTTGTTTTTTCCCTTTAACCCACCAAAAGTTAAACGGTTCCTTAGCTTTTTAGATCCTTTTGGTGTTTAGTGGTAGTTGTTCCATTTAACCCACTAAAAGTTAAACGGTTCCCTAGGTTTTTAGATCCTTTTAGTGTTTTTAGTGGCGGTTTTACATCTAACCCATCAAAAGTTAAAAGGGTTCCTTAGCGTTTTAGATCCTTTTAGTGTTTTTAGTGGTGGTTCTTACATTTAACCCACTAAAAGTTAAACGGTTCCTTAGCTTAGATCCTTGTAGTTTTTAGTGGTGGTTTCTTCCCTTTAACCCACTAAAAGTTAGTCACTTTTAGCGGGGCATCTGAGGGCAGCCCAGTGTTGATTTCGGGCAGGGGTTCTTTTACGGAAGGCTCTGATCCCGCAAGCGAAAGCCACATGTTATTCAGGGTTTAGACAAAGGCGGATTGTTCCTTGCGGCGTGGTTTCTTTTGGGGCTGCTGCGCGCAAAAACATAGTTCAAGCAGGCCAGAAAGGGCCCAATCAGTGGATAAATGTTATTTTATTCAACAGGGTCTAGACGAGTGCGGAGCTTCAAAGGGACATTTGGAAAACTAAACCAGCCAGGGGAAGTTGTGTTTCTTCGTTCGATGGCCTGTTTGTTTTTCCAAAACATAGCTTGAGAGAGAGAGAGAGAGGGACTGGGAAGTTCTTGGTGAGTCGTGGATCTGAAAGCGGCGGGTTTGGTTTCATCTTCACAAAGGGCATGACTCAAGAGGCTCTCAGACAGTGGATCAAATGCTGGTCAGGTGTTAGCTATATTTTTTATCTTCTAGGTTCCCCAGTAGTGCCCGTTTACCCTTTGTTTTTTGGGGGGAGGGTTCCCCTACCAAAATAGTCTACAGCAAAAAGTTGGTACCCGTATTCTAACCTCTCAAATCTGGAGGACCTAGCCCTAGTGCCAGAGATTTCGGATCATTGCTGGGGTGACTCGCGAGTCGCGAGGCGCCCGCGCACAAGTCAGGGGAGTTTCCGGACAGCGCCCTGGCCAGTTTTCTGCGAGCGCGCTCGGGGTCGACCTATTGTGAGGATCAGAGAAATGGCTATGGGTCAAAACCCCGTACCCCCAGTGAACATCCTAATCCCCACTAAAATAGACTAAAATGGGTGGTGCACCCACCCCAAAATGGTACCATTGGTGTTGACCCACGGCCAAATTGCACTGGAATCACCGGTGTTGGCACATCAAAACGGTCCAGGTAGGTGATGTGAAGGCGTTAAAGTCTCCTATCTGATACTCGCCGCTTTCCGCTTCTTGCTTTGCGGGAGGACCGAAACGATGAAGGACTCGAAGATGACCCATGAGCCAACAGCATGTCAAAACTCAAGCTGTCCAGGTAGTGCTTCTGAAGCTGTGCTCGTAGAACGAACTGACTCGTTGCATGGCTGGCGATTCCTGCTTCCCTTGTGTTACCACCGTCCCTGAAAATGACTAGCAAGCGTTTGGCTGCGAAAACAAATGGTTGGCTTGTGAGATTTTGGTCGCAATCCGTCGAACATTGGCAGTGAAGACTGGTTGGATATCACCTCAC